ATCTTCCTTTCTCTCAGCACTCTCAATCCCCCAAAATGAATTTCAAAGCTTTTGAGAAAAATAAATTTTATTTTTTATTTTTCACAAATTTTGAAACTTTGTTTTTTGTTTTTATTTTTTCATATTCATTCTTTGGGACCTATTCTGCACCACTTCACCAATTTTTGTGACTTCAAGTTTGTGCTTTGAAGCTCTGGAATCCAAAACAAGCAGCCAAAAATAACAGTCCACCCACTGTACATGTCAGGTGACATGAAGCTAACTCCTGCCTTTATTCCAGTGTTATTTCCAAGTCAAAGGGTTGGGACTCCCTAATGACCACAAAGGGCCCATTGTCATTTGAGAAGACAAGCAGCAGAGTAAAAATGGAGTTGTAACATATGTCACTTCATGTCACCTGACACCTACTGCCCTCATATATTTCCTGTTGATAAAGGTATGTAGCAGACAGAATAAAAAGAAAAGTTGGAGCATCTTTACCGGTTCAGCTAAAAGAAGCAATTTTAACTCACAGACCATTCAGCTGCACTGGTGTGGCTTGAGGTTAATTTTTGTGGTGTAGAAGTGTGCAATGTTTGTGGGGCACCAAAATGAAGTACAGTCACCTACCAGATGTTTATAGCCGGTTTTTTTGGATTACAAAACACCAACCCACAAGCTTGAAATCATGATACTTGGACAAGTGGTATAAAATAAATTTCAAAAAATGATTCTGAAAACAAAAATTTGAAAAACTGATTTTGGAAATTTGCAGAAAATGTTGCATTTATTGCACTTTTTTCAGAAGTTTTCAATATTGCTCCAAATGAAAAAAAAAAAAAAAAAAAAAAAAAAAAAAAATGAAATTTGGGAATTGGAGTATGGTATGCTGGAGGAATGATAATGCTTGGAAATTCTGACAAAAATAAATACCAGATGGTTTTGAACTGGTGTGGAGTGAGGCATTCATCAGACTCACAGTGGAAAATACAGTGGAAAAGGCAGTGTGATCAAATTCCGATTGCATTTTGACCTGGATACGGAGCTCTGAATGATTTCTGGTGTTATTTTTCTCACTTATTATCATTCTTCTTGCATACCATACTACTATTTCCAATTTCTATTTTATCATTTGGAGCAATATTGAAACTTTTGAAAAAAGTGCAACAATATGTAATATTTTTTGCAAATTTCAAAAATCAGTTTTTCGTAATTTTGTTTACAGAATCATTTTTTGAAACATATTTTATACCACTTTCCCAAGTTTCATGATTTCAAGTTAGTGGGTTGGGGCTGTGTAATCCAAACAAACTGGCTATAAATATCTGGTAGGTGACCGTGCATGCATGGGTGTTGGCTTTTAGCTAGATTTTTAGCTAACCATTGCTAGATCTAGCAGTGGTTAGCCAAAATTTCAGCTCAAAGCCAATTTGGCTTGAGCTTAGCTAGGCCTGGTGTTGTTGGAACTAGCCACCAATATGGATGCTTTTCACCCAACAGTTTTAGTATCTGGAAAAAATAAAGGGGGTTGGAAAAACGACTCCCTAAAATTCGCCAACGACTCCCATTTTGGTTGAGGGGTTGTCAGATGGGAGTTGTCTTTCCAATTCCTCCTGGGGGATTGGGAGTCAACCTCCCAAATGTTTTTTTATTTATTATATTCTTTTGGGTGGGAGTCGGCGCCCAAAACCCCTCTTGGCAAGTGGGAGGTTTGGGAGTCGCCTCCCTCCCACGGCCGGGGGGGATTCCCTCTGGTCATCGAGACTGTACAGTCTCAATCACCCCAGGGAATCCCTCCCGGCTAGTGGGTCTCGATGACCGGAATGGATTCCTTCCGGTCATTGAGACTGTTGTTGTTTCTCCTTGACCAGAAGGAATTCCTTCCGGTTGATGGGGTTGTTATACCTCATCAACCGGAAGGAATCCCTTCTGGCCGAAAAGGTTGTCGTACATACCTCATTGACCAGAAGGAATCCCTTTCGGTCGAGTCGATGAGGTTGTTGTACCTCATCACCGGAAGGAAATCCCTTCTGGTTGTTGAGGTGTTATACCTCATCACCGGAAGGGTTACAACTCATCGATCGGAAGGAATTCCTTCCGGCCAATGAGGTTGTTATACCTCATCTACCGGAAGGAATCCCTTCCGGCCAATGAGGTTTTTGTTTCTTGTTGACCAGAAGGAAATCCTCCCGGTCATGGGAGCGACTCCCAAATCCCCTCAAGCATGAGGGGTGGTTTCGCGGGCTGACTCCCAAAAAATTAAAAAATTAAAATACAAATGGATGGCCAACTCCCAAAGTCAGCCATCCATTTGGAGGAACAACTCCCGTTCAACGACCCCTCGACCAAAATGGGAGTCGTTTTTCCGACTCCAAAATAAAAGGACTACCTAAAAATATGAAAGTAGTTAGGGACTGTACCACAGCCTCAATTTTGAGGTCAATTTCAAAGTTTCAATTTTTAAATTGACTCTGCCAGAAATGGTATACCATGCACACTCAATTTCCCACAGTACAGAAGCCAGATTGACAGTGCCAACACCAAAATGAATTTAGATTGTTGAAAAATTAAGTATCAAAAATGAAAATGAAAATGAAAATTGGCTGGGGTGCTATGGTACAGGCCCTTACATGTATATCAATAACAAACATAATTTCAAACTACTAACATCCCAAAAAACTCCAAATTTGTTCAGAATTTGGACAATTGAAAATATATAGAATGAGGCAAAAGAAAACAAAATATTTAGATACTGATGGTGTGTGAAGCACATTTCCTTGATCAATGATTCAATTTGGAGGTGTATTGGCATTCCCTTGATGATACTTTGAATGGAAGAGATAAGTGATTGATTTCCTTTGACTGTTTGAAATGCTGAATGGATTCTCCCAAGGTATCAATCCAACAGTCTTAATTTTTGGCAAAATATCTTCAAGGAAAATTTTGTGTTTTGAAGCTAGATGAAGTCTGATTGACATCTTTGAGAATGAACTGTAGAAATTGTTTTCATTTTGGAAAAGTGTTAACCATTTTGAATAATTCTTCCTCTGATAAAAGTAAAGAATGATTTTTAAGGATGCTTTTGTCATCATTATTTCCTTCAAAGAAGCCCTGATCCTTGGTGCAACACCTTTCTTGCTTTGGATTAAATTAACACTTTGATCAGAATTTATTGAATCAAATATCATTTCTTTTATCTCTTGTTGTTTTTTTCTATCAAGCATAGGTCTCCTTTCCCAATATAAGCCTGATTGTGGAAAAGCATTGTGAGATGGATCAAGAATTGAGAAAAATTGATGTTGGATCTGGATCTGGTTTGAAAAATATGCAGAATCATGTTCTATGTGACCTAGAATTTCCAAAAATCTTGAATTCAGGATCCACATAATCTTCATTAAATTATTCAATTGATGGAAGATGTGCCCTTGAGAGATGCTTTCATTTAACCTCACTGTGAAGCTTTTCATTTCCAATAGCTTCTGAATCTTTGCTTCAAGTAAGGTTTTATCAAATTCTGGAGCACTCCCAGATCTTATACCATCCCTAATCTTTATCATTGAGATACATTCCCACATTTTTTCACTTTCTTGAGAATTTTCCCCAATTTCTTCCATTAATTGGTTATTTATCAACCTTCCTTGCCCTTCATTCCCATCTGATTGACTTTGCAAATATGTTGTATCCTTAAGGTAAACTTCTGCATGAGAAAGAAACTTTTCTTCTTGTTTTGAAATAGATACAACTCTACCTTTAATTGGAATAATCCCATTTATTTCATCAGCCCAAGGAAGGAGATTGACAACTTGTGTCTCCTTCCTCTTAATTTCGTATCTTACATCATTAAAGAAGTGCACCTTCTGAAGCCTTGTTAAGTGTAGTAGGAAGCTCTCTGGTTGTATAAAAAGCTTTCCCCACTTGTCAGCACTTTTTGATTTGTAGTAATGCTCCAACAAGACTACCACAGCTTTAGTCATCATTAACTGGATTTCTGAAATTGCTCCAAGGTGTGTTGTATATTTTGTTACCCTTTCAAAGAGATAAATCAAAGGATTTTCATTTCTTGAAGTCAGTGCCAAATTAACAAAGTTTGCCATATCTTGCAAGGCAGATGAATGATCTATTTTGTTTGTTTGAATTTTTGGGACTTGATTTACTGGCCATTTTTGTTTAATTTCAAATATGTCAAGAATCCAGTTGCAAACCAAGTTGTGTTCTTCCACATAATCTTTGTCTTTCAAACTTCCAAGACTCCTCATCAGTCTAAGGTTGATAAACCAAAGGGTGTATTCAAAATGTAAGATTCTTTGTTCAAGGTGTTCAGGATCAAATTCTAAGGGATATTTTCTACAGTTTATGAGGTCATTTGTATTTGAAGACAAGTGGGACACAAATTTTGAGCTATTCAGCTGTGCTGCAGGGCTAAGTTTCAGTTCCTGATCTTTCATATGGGCAGTATAGATTGAACCCCCAAATATCCATGCCCAAACTTTTGCCTCATGTGGAAGGTCAAATAATTTGGCTGATCCTGACATCATTGTGATACTATCAAGTACTGATAGCTGTTTAACCTTGGAAGGAGCCAAGGAATCCAAGTGCGCTTGTTGGTCTGGGGAATTGCATTCAGTGGACTCCTTTTTGGGGGAATTCAAGATGTGAATATGTGTTTTTCTGGGAACTCCAGGTGAATTGGAAGGTGCCTGAACTACAACCAATGGATCTTTGGAAGCGGTTGGACAGACTGAGTCTGACAAGTGCTGCACTTGACTAATTCCCGGCTGAAAAACTGGTTGGCCTAGACTTGTCATAGGAGTTGTTGGCCCGGCTTGCCCGGCTAAATCCTGCCAGAGGTGCTGGGAGCTTGTTGAATGTGTCGTACTTTGGGTGACACCCCACATCTGACCTGCTGGATTTGGTATTGCGGTGTGTTCGACGCTATCTGGGACTCATGAGAAGAAGGCAAAGCGAAACCTCAATATACAATTGTAATCAGGAAGGCATGAAATGTAAACTTCATTAAGGAGCTAAATCACGATAAAGTACTCACGCGGTTGCTTCTCAAGATTTCCAACTGGAGATAGCCATACGTTGAAATCACTGGCCCCAAACTCCAGAGAGGCAGAAGAAACCGGCTGTTTTTGATTTTGAGAAGCGGAATGGTCGAAGGATAAACCAAGGGCCAATTCAGGCTTAAAATCTGAATATTTTTCTCAGTTTTAAAGCTTCCAATTCCCCTGTTTCCTATTTTCATATTAAAATGAGGCAAAGAAATTTGAGGACACTAACTGGTCGGATTGTTCCATTGGTTTTTATTGCCAGATTGTCCCCGAGCAACTGATTCTGAAGAGCCTTGAGCAACTTTTTGCCTCTTGGTGTTGGGTTCCGAACGATCCACCGGCAAGCCCAGAGCCAAATCGAGCTCAATATCTGGACAATGCCCCAGTCACTTTTGTCAGGTTTCGTCCAGATCAATCCTACCTACCATAAACTGAAGAGTTCATTTTGCTCACCTTTTTCAAAAGTGCTTGGAGAAGAGAGCAGTTCAGTCTTAACTGGATGATGATGTGTCCAACCATGGCTTCTTGACACTAAGTGCTCTTCTGGCTCGTCCAGCAGCGTTTTCTTTGATATCCCTTATTAGTGAAGAAAACAACGCATGGAAGCAAGGCTTAACTCTTGACTTGCTTGACAACATACATAAAAGATGCAAAAGAAGAAAATCGCTCACTCGAGGGACCGGCTTGTTCTGGCAAAAATGAATAGTCTGTTTCATCATCAGGCTCTGTCTTCACACCTAAACGGAAGCCCATGTTGTACCGATAAGACCCCATAGCTTTGTCTGGCCCTGATTTTTCCCCACAAACTATCAAAAGTATGGAGCATCGGTGCCACGATGAGGCTTATTCAATAATTACAAAAAAAATCCTACTAACCGCGGACTTGATCAAAGTCATGGTCCATACATGATCGTGTGCCACAGCCACTGCAGATTTTTTGTTGTGAGGATGTGGATGAGATCGTGCTGCTCAAGGGAGACTTGAAGTCAATCCAGGTAATTTCTCCTCCAACTCATCCGGGAACCTGCACTTGACCCTGAAGATCTGCAGGTGGGATAGAAGCACAATAAGCTGCGATGGGAAGAAATTCTTTATGTTCATTTGTTTATATTTCTTTATTTTCTGGAATAAGAACCAGCTGAACCTGAGCCAACTTATTTATAAACCTGATTTGCTTTGCAACCTGAAGTCTTCTCGCTTCTCCATGCATAGCTTCTGACTTAACAAGTTAACTCCAGGAGCGGTCCGAAAGCTTACAAGTGAAGTCCTACAACTTTTTCGTCGAAATGATCATGGTTTCGCGCAGAAGAGTTGTACAGGAATGGAGACAGGTTAGGACAGGTTGCTGGTTGCAGTACAAGGTGTCGATGGAGCACACACTGACTCAACTTGATTACTGATTTACACTTGATCGACTCCTTAAACACCGTTAACTCTATGAGATGATGTAGATTGGAGGGAAATAAGTGACTCTGGACGGCGCTTCAGACGACTTGTAGCCCTCTTCATCAATGGGCTCACTTCGGGCTGAGCCTCATTGGGCTTGATCAACCCAGAACGACACCCTGAAGGACTTTCTCGTACCGCTTATGGAGCTACTTGCTAGTACTTAGCTTGCATGACATCCAAGCCGGCTGTCTCGGACTTGGGAGACTGGGAGTCGCCGGCCAAAAGGGTTGCACAGTCTGATCGGATCTGTTCGCAATGCTCCGTCGCCTCGAGCACACTGCATGTTCACCGTCACTTCCCGACTCATCATTAAGGCCTGAATCTCACTCGTTGAGCGTAAATTTCTCTAGAAACGCTTTCACTATCACTCGTTTCGTGGCTGCTTCACTTTTTGTTGTTGTCGTGAAGAGAATCAGATCAGCTATCATGCCAAGAAATCAGTACTTGGGTATCCATTGTTATCACTTGTAACTCACTCTTTTTTCCTCAATCCATCGATGCAAGGTTATTCATGAGGCTGCCTAAGAAGCTTGTCTGACTGAAATTGTTCAGCCACTGTGCCATTGCCATAATCTAATCATCTGGGTCTCCGCCGGCTCCTCCCGGGTGCTACCTGCTGCCACTTGCTTGACCTTTGTGAATCTCAAGTTCTCGACAGCCTGTACGGCAAGTACATGTCATGACCATGCCGGCAGTGCATGTTTATAAAGAACCCTTCAGTGAGGTTTGTGTCGATTCTTTATCTTTCAAATCCTTGTTTCACATTTCCACGTGGACCAGATTATTCTATTACACATCCCGGCTTTAGCAATCCCTGATTGGACGCTGGAACGGACCAGCTGGTTTGGTATAGTCCTCAAGCTATCCTTCGCTCGGACAATCCTTATATACTGTAAGCGACCTTTGCTTCACGGAGCTGCTCTCCGATTGTATCAGTTTCACAACTTTAGATCTCTCCGACTGCACGTTTTGCATATGTCTGGCCGATCGCTTCTACAGGAAGGGTCTATCCTCTTCTTGGGAGGAAAAAGAGGATTGACTGAAAATTTTGACTTCTTTCCCATCCATGAACACTAAGAGATACGCTGTCACATCCCGATTCCCTATCCCTCTCGCTTGTTCCACATTCGTGCACGAAATTATTTTCTTTGGATCTACCATAATCATCTGGCAAAGCCTTTTCCTCGCAGCATCCCCGCGGTTCCCTAGCTTCTAGAGGCTCATCGGCAGAGGCATTCACCTGATCAAACACATGGATACTTGTAATCCATAAGTGAACCTGTATCCAGTTCAGTCTAGTAAATTATTACATTTTCTATATCCTTCCCTGACCTTCCCTTAGAGATGCCGAAAATTTAAATAAGAATACCTCATTCCTTTTCTTCTTTACCCCACTGCATACCCGTCGATTCCTTGATTTTCAGCCTAATCTTCTCAAGTTTTGATTCTTCGTCACGTTTTTTGTCTTTCATGCGGCATCGTATCACACAAGCAGGATTCAGACTGTTTGCTATTGTTTCTTGAGGCTTTGCGCCGCCTTTAACTTGATTAGACAGCCAGAGGCTCGCAGCGTATCTCTGTCCAATCCGAAAGTTTTTTGTACTGGGTAGATCGAGAGAGACTCGAGATCCAAATTATTGTAGCTACCTTAGAGCTAGTCCAGCGTTTCAAATCAGGATTTCTTCAAGGCGCCACCTCCAGCTCCACATAGAACAGCCTTATTTTCTTTTCGAGAATCTGATTGCAACACCGCTCCAACTTCACTCGCCGCTCACGCATACCCCACCAAACCACAATCATGGGAAGCATTGTCGCTGATGACAAAATGACCGCCAACCAATCTTTACTCCAAAAGACCGGTAAAACTCAGGCGGCATTCGTGCCCAAGCTCTACATGTAAGCTCACGATTTTCCTAGCCTAGTATTCCAAGCTCCATTCGTCTGACAATGTGGGGTTGGATTGAGTAGAATGGTACAAACCATGAAGCAGCCGACACCCGAAGAACCGAACCCAGAACAACCACTAATAAGCTGGTCCAAAGCCGGAGATGTCTTTTGCGTTTTTGATCCGATCGAATTTTCGCGAGTCATCTTACCTTTGCACTTCAAGCACAACAACTGGCAGAGTTTTGTTCGCCAGCTCAACATGTATGGCTTCCACAAAGTAAGCATGCTCAGGTTTTCCCTTGGCTTGAAATGTCACTCAAGCCCCCAGCTAACGGCGTTTATGATTCTGTTCTTATATAGGTTAACGACTTACTCTCCAGCTCACACTCCCAAACGGACACTGTGCAGGCATGGGAATTTAGGCATCCGTTCTTCAAACAAAATCGCCCAGATCTTCTCCCGATGATCAAAAGAAAGTCAACCAAGCACCATGGCGCATCCAAAGCTAATAGTTCCCTCGCCAATGTTCAAGCTACATCACAGGCTGGCGAGATTCACTTTCAAAGACAGATGCCATTATCCAATGGTATTCCGGGTCGCACTGCTCGAACCTTTGAGTCTTGCATGCCCCACAACCAGCCGAGCCCCGTCCTACCGTCAGCACATCATCCTCTCCATGGAAAACCACCACCGCCACCATCCCTTCCTACCGGCAAGGCCAACATCCCACCGCGTGCCCCAGCTCTTTATCCTATACTCACCCATCAGTTCCAATATACTCATTCAACCCATTCACAATTAAAATCCTCCTCACCACTTCTGAAGCATTCAAGCACCAAAGTCTCACCATCTACCCGGGCCAATCCGCAGAACAATTGTTTCATACCATGTTCTCCCCACTCTGTTCGCCTCCCATCAAATACTAGCCGCCCCATCACATCCCAGTCTCAACCGTCCAGGCGTGGCAATGTGGAGGAAGAGGAAGTAACTGAAAGGAGCTTTGCATGGAGCAGCGTGCGAGAAGCTTGCGGCGGAAGTTCGCCTTTTACTAGGATAGAGGGCGAGCTGCGCCGGCTGAATGACACCCTAACCCATACAGATCCGAAAGGAAACCATATCTTTTCCGTGTTAGGGTTAATCGTTGAGCTCGTCACTCTGCTGGTTGACAATCAAGAAAGCAAGGTTGCACCATCACAACAAGAAAAGCTTTCACGCTATGGTGAGAGGGAATCTGTTTTCTCAAAAGCCACCCATATTGTTCATCAGCTAATGTTTTTTTTTCTTCTTAAACTCGCAGTGCAAACCGCCAAAGAAGCCCTAGGGAAGTTAGAAGCTGCAAATCTGGATTCCGTTAGACGATGTAGCGGAACCCCGTCCACAGACTCCATGTCACCCATTTCAACGGACCCTTTGGAGAGGTCAACACTGCCCCCCAGAAACGGGTGCAGGACTTCAGTGGATTCGAATCTTCTCGAGACTCACAAGGATAGCTCGTCGAGCACAGGGTGGATTGCCCGACCTCGCTGGTCCGATCGCATGAAGTCGTCGCAATCGCTTCCACCCTTGAACACGCTGATTCCGACTTATGCACCACCAATGTATCATAGGTGAGTATCCTATGAAAACACGTTGACAGTAAGGCATCAGCACTCATGAAATGTGTTGCATTTTTTTTGAAGAACCCACAGTGCAGGTGCACTTCCAGCTTCCATCAATCGATTGATGAACGCTGACCCGGAGGAGTATCCCAAGATAGCTGCGAGCCCAGAGGAAGACAGGCAGCATCGGGAACAAACTCAGGAAGAAGGTGAACAGGAAGACGACGAAGTTGAGCAGGCCGAAGAAGAAGAAGAAGAGGAAGCGGAACAAGAAGAAGAGGATGACCTCGAAGATGAGGATGATAATCCGGACTACGATGATCACGACACCGACGACGAGGATAGTGAAGAAGGCGGGCGTGGCCGTGGCGAGGACATTTACGGTGATTCCAAGGAGCTCGTCGACGCAGAGGCTCCCAGTGAAGTTGATCAACAAAGCTTCTCTGACCAGCTCAGCTCGAGCGCCGGAAGCACATCAGAAAGAACTATGCAAGATAGCAGCGCCACTGCACTGAAAATCCAATGCCTCTCTCGAAACGACGAACTGGACATCTTGCACCGCAAGAGATCCTACAACGGCTCCGAAGAGGAGCCATGTGCAATCTCCATCTTGACAGATGCCAACACCACAAACCACAATCGAAAGAGGATTCGAAGTGAGCAAGATATGGATACCCCGACTGCGTGTCCGACTAACTGAAGTTGCTCGTTGGGTACTCAGTACATTCATTCCACACGTTCCGGGCATGGAATCTTCTCTGGGCGCATCCTTTGTCTGATCAACGCATCTTTGGCCACGTACTGCAATCAACAGTCTTAGACCATCTTTTTCTTTTTTGATATCTTTCTGTTTGATTATGAAATAACTATCTCCCATTCCATGTCCTCATGTCCCGTCATGAACAAAACACATTTCCCATCCATCAGTCACATTCTTCTTTTTTTTTTTCGCCTGGATATCTAAACCACATATTACAATATTTACTCGTGTTCCCTTTGCTTCAATCGGTTGATCAGTCACCCTCGAACATCCCACATCTGCTTCTATATACTCTAGATTCGGTGCCCATTTCTGTCGGTCTGCTCATGATTTGTATGGTGTTTTGTTTTTTGGAGCTTTGTTTTGTTACCTATCGGGTTCTCCAAAAGTATGGAATATTAGTCCGATGATGAGGCCGGATCTAAAAAAAAAACCAAAAAAGAAACATCTGACCGCGGAGTTGACCAAAGTCAGGGACCAATATACAAGGTCGTGTGCCACGGCTCCTCCGGTTTGGCGGTTTCGAGAATGTGGGATGGGGATCGTGGCTATTCCGAGCAAGACGTGAAGCCAATCGAGGTGGTTTATATTGTCTTTGGAATAAGGACCAGCAGAACTTGAGCCATAGTATTGATGAACCTGATTTGCTTTGCAATCTGAAGTGAATTAGCATGATTATGGGTCTTTGTTTCGGACACCAGGCACAGCTTCTCAATTCTCCGTACATAGCATCTGATTTAACTCTAGGAGCGGTCCGAATGCCTACAGCTAAGTAGTCCCACAACCTTTCCGTCAAGATGATCATGGTTCCGCGCAGAAGAGTCGTACAGACATGGTGATTGGTTGCTGGTTGCAGTACATTAAGGTGTTGATGGAACTCACACTGACTCATCATAATTACTGATTTAGACTTGACAGACTTGACTAGTCCTTTGAACACTGTTTCTCTATGAAATCATACAAATTAGAGGGAAACAAAGTACAAGCGGCCGAGGCCTATGATTTACATACTCAAAGTTGGACGGTAACATTAACTGACATATAAGCTGTCTAAACGAGCGATGGATCATTACAAGAATCCGATCAGAGTTTTAACCTCATCCAGTGAGCGAATGAGGATCGTAGATTTGAACTCGAACAGGTTACGATCATCCAAGACGTTATCATAGATGATCTGATATCTGGCCACCAGATCGTTCAGCGATCTCTTGAGGATGACCTCTTTCAAGTTCTGAGACCCTCCTCTTTCTCCTTCTCCTTCTTCTTGCATCTTCCTCCTTCTCTTACTGAAATTTCCTCCAGTCGAATTATTGCTACCACTACTACTGGTATTTAGCAGACTTAATAACTTGTTCGAGGATAGCAATGTGTCGAAATTCATTAAGAATTTGTCAAACTTTTTCAGCGCTTCACTGATCGATTTCGAGTTTGCTTCTTCAATTCTTGAGAGTGGAGTCTAATTTTGTAATTCATTCATTAAATGAGATGAATCATTAATGCCCAATTCAACTTGAATATACAGTGAAGATGGAAAAAAAGAGGACGCACATCCTGATCTTTGGTCTCGATTGCTTTCAAAACAGGTTCCAATCCAGAAGTGCTGGTCAGATGAGCAGTGTACTGTTGGATTAACTTTTCGAGGTGAGTTTGCCGAAGACTTTCGAGTTTGTCGACGGTCGAAGTTGAATTAGATGAGTCCAAAGTAGCCTGTGAGGAGGATGAGGAAGATAAGTCGAATCAAGACATGAGAGACCCCACAAAACCGCATGTTGCATGGAGAATCTTTAGCTTACAAGCATGAATTCCAAGCAGTTCAACCAGAAGATTGATCGGTCCCACTCAGAAGCGCGTAGCCGAGCCATCTTATCGATCACCTCCATCATCGGATCGACGACCAAGTCCAAGACGCGCTCGAACGAGTGCTCGGAAGATGAGGCACCATCCTCTGTGGAGCCTTCATAGATCGACATGATCACGCTCAGATTTGACATGGCTTCGCGCAGGGGCGCTGGGACTGACAGATCCACGGGCGGGGGCTCTAACCGTTTCAGATAATCACTCGAAAGCGATCTCAAGAGCTGGTAAAATACTTCATAGGATTGATCCGTAAGCCTAAGATTGAGCAAACAAATATCAAATCGAGTAAATATGGTCAGTCAAATGATGGTCGAGTGCACTGAAGAGACGCAATGCAGCTGATCAAAAGCACTCAACTCGCTCAAGGTCTTTGTCAGCTTTGCATCCGGTCCGATCGTACCAGCCATGGTGAGCTGGTAAAACTCCAAAAGGCTGGCCAATTGGCATGCTATGAGACTACCCTCTTGACTGTTAACAGTCTGTTGGACACGGATCTTCAAAGGACGGATGCAACCTTCGAGATGTTTATCGAGTAACTTCCTGGCCATCTCGCGGTCCCCGGTATTCCAATCGGTCACTGTGAGCTCACTGGTCGACTGTCCGGTTTGTCCTGCCGTGGTTTCCTCGGCCTTGATGCCCGATGGGTTGTTACTTGGGAAGATCCGTGACTCGCCGACTCGTCTGCCATCCGCCTTGAGGTCAAATAGGCTCTCCAAAAACTCGTGTTCACTCGCCATCACCTGATGGATCCATGCCAGCATGTCTCCGACGTATCGGATCGGATCATGCGCTATGAGCTCGATCGGTCGGGGTAGTCCTGACGGGCCTCCTCGAGTCAACGCCTCCAGAAATAAGCCCGATAATGAACTTGACCGAGCTGCAGTTAAGGTATTGATAACTTCCCTTAAAAAAGGATCATTGTTTATAAGAATATCAATCTTAACTCCAAGCGTACTGAAAACAAGCCTGATAGCTTACTCAAGTGACTCCGGACGGCGCTTCAGACGATTGATAGCCCTCTTCATCAATGGACTCACTTCGGGCTGAGCCTCATCGGGCTTGATCAACCCAGAACGGCATTCGAAGAGAGCCCATTTGAGGACTTTATCGTAGCCCTTATCGAGGTACTTGCTCGTAGCTTGCATGATATCCAAGCCGGCTGTCTCGGACTTGGGAGACTGGGAGTCGCCGGTCAAGAGAGTTGCACAGTCTGATCGGATCTGTTCGCAATGCTCCATCGCCTCGAACACGCTCCAGTTCACCGTCACTTCTCGACTCGTCAAGGCTTGAATCTCACTCTCGTTGAGCGTAAATTTCTCTAGAAACGCTTTCACTATCACTCGTTTGGCGGCTATTGCTTCGCTTTTTGTGGTTGTCGTGAATCAGTTATCATGCCTATGGAATTATTGTCACCTTGTAACTCACTCTTCTTTCCTCAATCCTTCAGCATGTTCTAGCAAATACTTAGTAGCCGAATTGGCCATCTTTAGGTTTTCTTGAATTTCGTCGCAACATTCGTGCATTTGATCGAGATGAGATTGCAGATCGATTAAGTCCTGTTCTTTCCCAACCGAAAAACAACAGAACCACATCAGTTCCAAAAGTTGCTCCAAATTTTTTCTCTGAATAAAGAGATGACAGCTACATCATTCAGTTCGGAGAATACGTTCAAGAATTCTCTCGAACGATTCCGGATACGCTGTTCGACGATTCTCCTGAGGCCGCCCTTCTTAAGGGACTGGAGACAATCGATCTCGCTCGCTTTGGAGCCCAAGTTCTCTGAGTCGACATGAGGAGATGAAGGGTTTTGGAAGGTGAGTGAGTTGAGGGTGTCGAGCGCTTGGCGGAAGTTAGGGTCGTCGAATTGGCTGGTGGCGAGTACCTTGGAGATCCTCAGTGAGAGTGCGTTGGTGGTCGAGTTATTGTTTGAGGATGTCGATGTGGGTTGGTGGTTGAGTGATCCTGAGTTGGTGATGGCCATCGTCGAGGTCCGCTGGTTTGGTGTTGGTTGAGTTGAGGAAAATGGTCAACAGACACAGCGCACGCCATCTGAGTCAACACCAACATCTTCCTCTAACAAAAAACTCAACCAACTCCACTTCAGGATTATGCCCCCACAACATACACGCTATCACAACTTACATAAGTCACCATAAACCATTGTTCACCACAGAACATGTCAGTTGTCAGGCCAGCCCAAAAATCACAACCACGGGTCTTACCGGGCATAAACATTTGGGTGGACACTAACTCGATGAAGTCGAGGGGCTTCATTGCATTAGGGGAGGGCAGTATAATTGGTCTCCTCCGGCCCACACGGCACCTGCCGGCATCCACACTGATAATCGATTCACCCACTACACAGACTCAGAGTACAACAGCTACAACAGCCTTATCAACTGCACATGTTTTGATGGTGCCACATACGCCATCCGGAATCGCATCGGAGCCTATCGGAGCTTGGCCGACGTATCTTCTATGTAGTACATATCAAGCCCAGTCAGTTCAGCTGTTTGAGTGCTGGGCATCCGCTATTTAAAGCATCCCATCCGCACCCCATCCATCCAAGCTTATAGCCAAACAATCCCCTTCAAGCCCCAAAATAAATCAGAACGTAAGCCAGTTTTCGGATAGCTCCCAGAAGTACCTCATACCTAGCTAAAAGACTAATAAGCCAACACATTTTCTTACAGAAATGCGTTGTTATATCCTAGCACTCGCTACCATCCTACTTTCTTCTGGCAATTTTTTTGTCCAGTCTCTCATTCTAATTTGTCCCCCGGGAAGCTCCCCAAAAACTTGTCCTGGCCCTCCTCCCGGTCCCGAAAAAAAATGTCTCTGTTGTCTTGATCATCATGAAGGATATGTCGGCGGACGAATCTGTGATTAGAGTACCTGATATTCATTTGTGTTGCACATTAGTGACCACTTCACTCGAGATTTTCTTAGAAACCACTCAAGATAGCCATTCTACGCTTAGAGAATTCTCTCTACTTCACTAAATACAAATCATACAAGTAAAATGATTTGCCATGCCGTCTTTCTCTTTTTCAAGTTCTTTTAAGCGTGATACACCCGCCCCTCCATCATAAAAACCAGATCTGCTTCTTATCAAGTGGTCTTTTCTTCACATGCTTATTAAATTAAAAAGTGGAGAAAAAACTGGTACATAATCTCCCTCACATGAACTGATCCCAAAGAGTCCCAAACCTAAACTGAGACATTTTTCCTCATATCCTTTCCCTATCATTTTCCTTCTTTCTATCTTTATTACCCAAAACAACATATTTGTCTTTGTGTGTCCTCCATCATCATCACTCAATGAAACAAAATAGAAACTATTCTGCATTATTGCAGGTACATATGATATTTCTTTCTTTCAATCTCAATTTTTCATCTATAATACCAAGTTTGTCAATACTAAATCTTATCTGTTTATAATTTCTTTCATTCATTTTCTTCAGGTGTGTTGTCACAGTTGAGAGCTGAGTCGTTGAGAGTTATTATCTAACTCAATATTTTTTCAAAACAAAGCTGCACTTCATTTAATTTCTACCCAAAATCACAGAACAAAATCAAATTTGAAACCTTTCCATTTTTCCAACTCCTTTCTCCCAAAAACCTCAAATTATAATCTCCTCTTAAAGGTTTCAACCTAATTGAGTACACTATGCCACCCAAGCATATTGTCTCCCAAGGTGTTGACAATATGGAAGACATTAGTTCTCCCAACCCTTCTCCCCCTCAAACTCCAGCCCGTCATGACTCAATCCTTCCCTTGACCAATTCCAGCATAATCCTGTTGATGGAGTCCTTGAATTCATAACAGATCTTCCCTCCAACTGGTGCATGCATATTGATGTTGAGGCAAACCAGGCTAGGAGAGCAGAAAATTGCAGACAGGATGTCTTGTGATGGTTTGACTGAGCAGCAAGATAAGATGAGGATTCATTCAGTATAGAGAGTTGGCTGGATCAGTGCCCAGATAGAACTGAGGACAGGGTAGACTTGCTTGAAAGTTAGAAGCATGCGCGGCCTATAAGCATCTAAACAATTCATCTGATATGAAAGCGCAAGGGAAAGGTGGAATTCTAACACTAGGGGGGCTCTGATAGGGTTTGGGGAGTTTGTTGTAAGGAAGAAAGATGCACTTGGTTCAAGGGGTTCCAGAACTTGCCAGACCGCCTAAACTAACACTCGTTTGCATATTGCAGTTCCCATGTACCAATCCGCTGGTTCGCTGTAGAATCGGCCTCTCCGTATATACGTGAAAAAATGGATCAGATGTGAATCCAGAGTGTTTTACTCTCTCTGACATTGCACAAGGTGCGGAAAAGTGAAACGTGTGACTACTGCGGAGAGTTGACAGCTGAAAAGTTGATACCATTCACAACATTCTCTAGGTGAATCGTAGGGCGACTCGGGGCTTGGTCCTTGTCGACCGGAATTGTCCGTCAAATTTTGATCGCAGATAGAGCTGCGTCAAAAGATCGTAGGCCTGTCTGGACCAGGACCTTGTTCAATGGTGGTGGAAAACACGAAGTTGCGAAGACTGTCATCGATAGGGAAGAAAAATGTTGAGTAGACTTGTAGCAGTTATTTCTCCAGAGAAGAAATCTGCTTACCTTCGTGATGCTGTAGCGGCAGGCAGAGACAAAATCTTGTTGCCATCTGATAATGGTTGTGATGATGGTCAAATCATCTCAGTTTCAATTCCCTCAAACCAAAAATCAAATCCATCAGTTGATCAGTTTTTTTGTCCGGTGTCGAATGAAAAGACTCAGCACCAAAATTGTTTTTAAATTCAAAAATAACAAAAAATGAATTGCCGCCTGGCGCCCCATGGTGCCAGCTTGAGGCCACTGGGAAGGCGCCCCTGGGCGCGCACTTTTTTAAACATGGCGCCGTCAACCCTAGCTACAACACCAAAAATTCACTGTCATAAGCAGATGATTGTCTAGCTTTGTGATAATTGGTTTACGGTTTTTCAACCTTATTCTGATTATCCGGATTTACATATTTTTTCTTATGATATAATGCACTGCCAAACGGAGCCTCAGTTCCCATGTACCAATCCGCTCGTTCGCTGTAAAATCGGCCTTTCCGTACACACGTGGAAAAATGGATCAGATGCGAAGCCAGAGTCGTGTGACTACTGCGGAGAGTTGATGGCTGAAAAGTTGATACCATTCACAACATTTTCTAGGTAAATCGTAGGGCGACTCGGGGCTTGGTCCTTGTCGACCGGAATGGTCCGTCAAAATTTTGATCGCAGATAGAACCTGCGTCAAAAGATTGTAGGCCTTTTTTGGATCAGGGCCTTGTTCGGTGGGGATGGAAAACATACGGAGACTGTCATCGAGATGGTCTGTAGCCTTGATGAGGGCGAGCAGCTGATCCGAACTCATGAGTGGTAATGGGTGAGGTATACCATTGGTTGCTTTAGATAGCTTGTTGAGAAAGAGTCTCGTTAGTTTGATAATTGTGAGAGCGTCCTGGGATGATGGGATATGCATTCTCGCCCGCGCGATCGAGTCTTTCACCTGATGCGCAATTTCAGATTCAATTTTTTGAACCACTTGTCGGCATCGATCTCCAAGTAGCTCGAGATCCGATGGTTCAAACGATCTGATGATATTATCAATGCTGTTGAGCATGAGGTGAGTTTGGTGGTAAGTTATCTGAGATAGTTCCTCCATATCACGTTTCTTCATAGTGAGAGTCGCACTCTGTGAGAGGAGATAGCGATGATAGCAAGGAATTTGTGCCGTTCTTCGGAGAATTTCTGCTGTTTTTCGGAGGATATCTACGATACTCAATTGCATAGCTCGGCATCTATAGGCATTCATGTCCCAGTCCCCCCGAAAATATCTAGGTTGACCCTGGAGTAAAAGGGATTGGTTCAAGTGCATTAATCGATCTGTAGTATGTTCGACTTCCTTGAGGAGTTTTGCGCCGGTTTGATAATCTGGATCTTTGCCCCCTTGATAATAGCTAGGACTCGTGAGCAGGTCTTGCATTTGCCGAAGGCTTCTAGATAAGCATGGCAAAACCACTGTTTTGATTTCATTGAAGTGGCTCCCAGATTCCGGTGATATCATGTAGTCCCCCCCATATGCACCAAGAATTATCAGGTGATCCAAGTCTTCACGAAGGTAGGAGAATGAGCTTTCAAGCGTTTGCGCGAATTGGGCTGCAACTGTATGTAACAAAAAGAAGTCGGACTCAGGAATCAATTTAGTGGTCACGCTTTGTTTATGATTCATTTAATTGGTTATTCTTACTTTCATCATAAATTATTGGTGTGTATGGGGGCTGATGGGCCTGTTGTGACATTTCTTGTTCTTGCATGTTGAATCGTTTTTCTTACCGAGTTGCAGTTCGCGCTTCCACGACCAAAAGAAAGCTGAAAACACTCATGTGCATCCGGGGGACCGAAATGAGTCAAGCCCGAGTCCCCTCTTTATGTGCAGCGGATAAGACCCGGGGCCCGGGGGCCGAGTTATCTATCTGCCACTCTGTCGGTGAAATCTCCCTGCAGGCTTCAAGTTCCAATTGACCATCGGCTTTTCCTACGAAAACGACGAACCAACAAGACCATCATCAATCATGACTCGTCAGTTCTTCCAAGCTCCCTTCACAAAAACTCATCCGACTGTGCTGACTTCCTGGAATCTACATCATCATCCTACATATACAACTGATCCCTTCAACCTGTCTTCCTAAAATCGCCCTCCCCACCTATCGTCAAATCTTTTTCTCATCGGACGTCGGGATACTCGATTATTAATCATCTGAATCCGAACCATATCTCTAGGTGGCAATCAACGTGAAAATGACCGAGCCAAAGCCGCCAAAAAGCTTGCCGACTTACAGAAGAGCAAGCAGAAAGAGTCGGCAGCCTCATTGACCAGACGAAGAGAAGAAGACGCCCAGAAGATGCGAGAGAAACAAGCGGTGAGTGGCCTTCGAAAAACGACCAGAACAAACTGCGGTTTCTTGCTCCCATTCTCAGAGAATTTCTCTGTACACTTATTGACACATTTTTATCTCTCTCTCTCTACTTGTTTTGGTTTCGGGTGGCTGTGCAGAAAGCATTGGCACTGAAAGGGGAAGCCGGGGGAGGCACGGCGAAGAAATGAGCGGCTCTTTAACCCGAACCTCGAATAGGTTTTCTTGTACTTCTCCATACATCTGACTCGATTGACTGTGATTCGACCTTCTACAAACGACGAAGATCAAGAAAGAGTCCGCCATATATACATACATATCCGCTCCAATCTAGGCGAGACAATCGAGCTTCTCGTTGGTTTCCCCTGTTTGCCCCTTCACATTGACATACCTCCCTCCTCGACCCATCTTCTCTCTGTATCCCCTTCGAATTCATCCGTCACCTTTGAACGCTTGAATCCTCTTTTTGTCTTCTTGTCCTCAATTTCTTTCTTTCTTTCTTCTAGATATACACTCAGCTTCTTCACACTTACTTTTGATTTCGTTTGTATATATGATTATGTATTTCTGAATCGTTTTTTTTTTTGCTTTGATTTCATTCTTTTTTACTCAATTCAACTCGGGATAACCTAACACATAATTCTCAAGTGTCACTAGATTGAACATGGCGAACCTACAACTTGGGGAGACAAGTGTCCCAATGGAAATTCATGACGCAGGCTTCAAGGCCCTACAGTCCTGCAAGTTCAATCATATAAATATCCCACACAACATCACATTGATTCATGGCTTATGATTATTGCAGAATTACAGCTCAACCCTTGATGTCGAAGTGAGTTTACAATACCTAGAAGGACCTCTTTCACAGCTCATGGCCCTTCCAGTGGCTGACAAATTAGATGACATTGTCTTGGTTTGATGTCATTCCATTTTACCGGAGCGCATTGACCACAGCAGTAAGAGCACCTGGTTCAGCAACATCATTTGCAACAGTTTCTAAGCTTAGGGCCAGTACCATTGGGCATGAAAATTTAATGTTTCAGAACTTATCTTACTCAAAATTTTGTCTCATCAAAATTGGCCATGACCAGAAGCCAGTTGCTGGCATAAAAGTGGAGAATTTTCATCTAGTTAGATCTCTTCACTTTTTGTCAAATTTGGTACAGAAGGAAGCAAAAATGCACATTTTCAAAATTGAAAGTTGAATGCCATGGTACTACTACTGGCCCTTGATAGATTCCAGAAAGTAGGTTACTTTAACAAAGTAACTTCTGTTTTTTTATCATGACTCAAAGCCATTTTCAAGGTGTTTCTCATCACAAATTTATGATTTTTTGAGATGTGCAGAAAGTCCAGAAAATAATAAATCTGACAAATTTAAGAATATTATAAGATGCTGCTCATAAGCACCATAAAAGTGGCCTCAAGTTCAATCATGAACCCCCTTAGTAGAGGGGTTCACATGGGTTCAGTATCAGTAAAAGCTTATGGACCATCAGTCAAAATTTGAGTGTGTGACAGGCCAAATTTAATCATTGGTAAACAAAATTTCACACCCACATCAGCAAGAAACACCCTCCTTTATGAACAGGGCTAATGTAGTTCAAGCTTTGAATAATTGGCATGTGAAGATATATCAACGCACACCCTACATACTGTTGGAATCAGATTCCTGGTCTTATCCCTCGAAAGAGGAGAAGAAAGATGATCATGATCAATCATCGAGCTCTAGGTGAGTCTCTATGAATTGATTCATAGTAACAAAGAGTCAGAACAAGAGATCATTTGAGTTCTAATTCTTTGTTTAACAAAAATCATCACTTATTAGCTTTAGCTCAAACTCAAACAAGAATACTGAACATAAAATTATCAATCGTATATTTCCACCATCAGTCCAATCACCTTTTTCTTATGATTAGAAAAAGAGAAAAAAAAAAAATAACTGACTTGACTATTATGAATTCAATGATCTTATGTTAGATTCATCAAAAGAATAGTATACATAGCACAGCTATTATTTAAAGAATAATTATTAGATTAGTTCTGCCTTCAGGTACTGCTCTACCGGCCGTTGCGGGCTCTTTTTGGTTAGCGACCCCCAAAACCCACTGTGGGTTTTGGGGCATCGACCGCCAACTCCTTTGGGGGTTGGTTTTTATTGGAGGACTTCCCGTGGGTTTTAAAGGCCTTGTAAAGCTAATTTTTTGCTGGGAAAAACGGTTTCACAAGCTTGTAAAAATAGCTTTACAGGGGGCTGTAAATTCAACGGGAAGTCCTCCATTATTATTATTTTTCTTGGGGTTTTGACTCCCAAACCCAATCAAATCTCATTTCTCGGGGATCTCGGTGGAATATCCGGGGGTTTCGGGGTTTGGGAGTCGACTCTCCAATTTTTGGGAGTCGATTAGCCAAGACCCTATATTTGTTGAACTTTTTCAGATCTTTTTTGAGAGGATCTGATTGTGAATTGTGAGATTATCAGTTCCTCTCCTGTTCATCAGACTTCCTTAGATTTGTTGCTTCAATTTGGAGCCAGTGAAGTAATAATAATTTCGAATGCTGAGAGCCCCTTCAAGTGATCAGTCATCATGTGTTCTGATAAGGAAGATCTTGAGAAGAGAGGGCATAAATCTTCAGATGTCACTAAATCTGATCCGCCCCTTGGAGTCTGTGACATGTTGGTTTATGTAGTTGACGTCAGGGCTCGATCGGATCCACTCACCTCTTTGCCCGTCTTTCCCTTTTCTTCATCTCACAGCCACACCATACATAAACAACAGCTCCCAGTGGTGGTACATGAACGAGTGGAATGGTCAACAAGCAAACAAAAAAAAAACAGAACAAGCAACAACTACGATGACTTCTCCCCATCAGCACACCCCAGTCAACTTTGCCCAACAGCCATATCTCATCCGGCATCCACCTCTCACTCAAAACAGACATCCAAACTCACTGCATACCTTCCTAGCCAAGATCGACTATCTCGCAACTGCAGCCGACTCACCAGCCTGTCCACCCACAAAGCAAAACCTCAGCCATTGCCCAGAGATCGCAGTTGAAATCATCAAGTCACTCTACAGTTTCGCATTCGAACCAGAATGGGCTACCTACTTCTTCCCCATCACCGCATTCAATCCCATCAATCAACCTGCATCATCACCCTCATCACCATCACCATCCTCATCCTCATCCTCATCAACTCAAGATCAGATCCCAATCATCTCCCTACCCGATATCAACCCCTCATTCAGTCTCACCTCACTCCAGGGCGAAGAGGCAGTCGAATATGGCGAAAACCGTCGCGGAAAACCTTGCGGGCATGTCTTCCAGAAGGGTGAAGGGGTTTATCATTGCAGGTATGTCTCCCCCAATTCTAACCACAATACTTAAGAAAAATAAAAACAACAGGTCTCACTAGATATGAAATTCTTCATTACAGTGACTGTGGTATCGATCCAACGTGTGCACTATGTGCTAGATGCTTCCTGGCCTCTGATCATACCGGACATGATGTCACCTACTCGATTCATGCTAATGGATGTGGTTGTTGCGATTGTGGTGACGAAGAAGCCTGGAAGACCGACATCAAATGCAAGTATCACAGCCTCTCCACCGATCATCCCTCCCCAAACATCCCACTCCCACCAGACGATCGAACGCCATCTCCTCAGATTACCTCAAAACTCCAACCACTACCAAACCATTGCAAGGATGTCATCGAGGAGATCGTGGCCATCGCACTAGACTTCTTACTCATCACCGTCGATCGGAGCCCGGAAGACATGAGACCACCTGCAAATATCGATGCCATCTATCATGAACTCAGTCGACTAGAAGAAAATGCCTATCTCGGTCTACCTCGTAGCTCACCCTCACTTCCAGATAACTCGATGGATATCGATCTCCCATTCTCTCATCACCCTACATCATTACAACTCCAGCACCAAGCCATTGCCAACTCGATGGAAGAAGCTGGTAAATCATCTATTACCGGCGGGCTCTTATCAGCATTCTTGGGTGGTAGAGCTACCGATAATAAGGGGAAAGGCAAGATCACAGACTCGACCGGCGCGAACCCGAACAGCTCGGTAGGGACGACTGCCTCATCATTTGGTCTCACCGCTGGCACAGCTGGACGTTTCAACCCTTCAAATCATCCCTATCAATCTGCGGGAAATACCACCCAAGGCTCATCAAGAGCAGCAGAACACTGGTCAACCTGGTCCCATTTCCCAACTCCAATCAAGCCTACCGATCATAACCTTCGAGGATCTGGCCCCTGGGGCGTGGTTCTATGGAATGACGAAAGGCATAGTTATGCCCAGGTAATCGACCAAGTCTCCAAGGCCACCGGTTGCACTCGAGCAGAGGCTCTGCGAATTGCCAACACGATCGATACTAAGGTCCATCCCCTCATTTTCCTTCTTTCGCTTGATTGCTTATTCTCTCGTACGAAGTTGCTGAATCATGATCAATCCTATGTATTCTTCAGGGTAGAGAGGTGATTCAAGTCTCGAGTGACCCCAGCGTGCTCCTCCAGACTTCCAAGACAATCAGTCAGATTGATTTGACTGTCACCGTCAGGACCACTCACGACTTATTCTGTGAACAGATCGCCGATCTGATCATCAATTTCTTGGTCGACTTGGCTTCATGTCGGATATACAACGTTTCTCCCGAGGATGAATCATGGTTGAAATCGTTGATCACCCGCAAGCTTCGCGAACGACCAGCCTTAGGATACGAAGGCGGTGGTCGTAGTCGATTTGCGCGTCTATTACTCAACGACGTCAAGCTTTGGAAAGAAGCGCGGGACAAACTCAAGTCGTTGTACATCTCTTTACTCGCGTTGGGTCAGACCGTCAAACTCGAATTGGGTGTTCTCTTCGCCTCTGTCTTCCCTCAGTTGATCGAGTACAACTTCCTCGTCGATCGAGAACCGGAACATAACATCCTCCTCTTCAGTCTCCAGATCGTCACTGTTCCCAGTGTGATCGTCATCCTGGTCAAAGAGCATGGATTCCTCAAAATGATCATCGACTTGCTCTACTCCTTCTTCACCCATCAATTCTTACCTGCCGGGGTGCCCGAAAACGAATACAAGCACATCGTCTATCCTCCGGACTATGAGAACAGACAGATCAATCCTGAGGGAATGGCCTTTCGTCATAAACGATACTACCATCTCTTCCACGAACTCAATCTGGTCCTGAGCTCTGCCGGCGTTCAGAAAGCGATCTGCGAAGATGTCGAACATCTCAAGACACTCATCAACTTCTTGTCTCTGTTCACAAATATGAATCCGAACAGACGGGCTGTCCATCTACACGTTGAATTCGAATCTGATGCATGGGTGACTGCCTTCAACCTGACGATCCAGTTGGCTAAGCTTTGCAAGTTCTTTGGAGAGTGTTACTCAAAGGCGAGCCCAGAGGAGTTTGTTGTAGCGGTTCGGACGTTGGTACCAAGTCTGATGGATCCTGAACAAGACTTCCACGACGTCCAGTTTGGTTCATGTGAGGCGGTCGATGACTCCTCGATCGATTCTGGGGTCTTCTACCGGTGTATCGACTTCAGGACTGATCGAGAGTTGATCAGCTTCCACCATCCCTTGAACTGGCTCTTCGCCGAAATCATGAGGAGTGCCCATCTGATCGACTTCGAACAGGTTCACCATCTTGGCGTCTATGGCGTCGGCGATCTGTTGATCCCAGAAAACGCAACACCTGCAGAAGCAGATGTTGCACCCTTGGCTCTATCGGAGAATGTGATTTGCGGTTAGTCATTCATTAATCCTGTCCGCAAAATAAATAAAAGTTGATACTGAAGGACCTGGTTCTTTTTGCCCCTCTGAGTTTAGTGGCCTCGTTGCTTGCCCAAGTCCGCGCGGGGTTATGGGTTCGAAACGGATTTGGTGTTCGTGCACAACAGCTGCATTATCGGGAGTACAGCCTCAGAGAAACGACGTTTGACCAGGATATCTTCCACTTACAAGTCTTACTTGCAGCCAAGGATCCTAGTCATGTGCTGGTTGCGATTGTCGATCGGTTTGCCATGAGACAATGGTGCAACGGGGAATTCCTATCAGATCGAGTTTACGAGCCTAGTCAAATGATTGCGATGCTCGAAGAGTTGTTGCATCTCTTAATCATTTTACTCTCCGAGCCCTCTGGTATTAGTGGGTCAAGTCGAGAGGAAAACTTGAAGCGAGAAATCATCCAAGTCCTCTGTCTCGGTTCGATGTCCTATTCGGATACCATCAAACGCATACCCGATCGATATATCCAAGATTCCTCCTTCGACAAGGCATTAGCTATGCTGGCCGATTTTAAGCCACCGGTGGGATCGAGCGATGTAGGAATGTATTCCTTGAAACCTGAGTTTCTGGAAGAGGTCGATCCATATTATTGCAGATTTGGCCGCAATCAACGTGAAGAATCCGAGCGGATCGTCGTGGAGCATTTGAAGAAGACTACTGGCGTGACAGATCCAGTCTTGGTACCCAAGTGTCTCAATATCAACTCTGGCCCGTTTGCCTGTATCAGCCATACCTATCACTCCGAAGTCTTGCTTCAAATCATCTTTTACTCGTTAGCCAGGGTGAACCCGACAATGAAAGGATACTCTGAATATCTGGCTGATGAGGCGATCCACTTGGTAATGATGGGCCTGGTCGAACAGCCGGATGTGTTTGCGAAGATGGCGATGGAAAAGAAACTACCGTTGAAGGGCGCCAATCCACATACGATGACGCTGAAGATGATGTTGGAGGCGGTGGATGCTGAGCCGGCAATGAAGAGTGTCCAGAAGAAGGTGAACTGGTGTCTGGATCGGATGGCCTCGATCTTCGGCTTGCAGCGGACCGACGGCAAGTCAGCCGAGTCTGCCACCAATGCAGAGCAGATTGCCATCCAGGCCGACGAGCAGAAGAAGGAAGCCGCCAAGGCCCGTCAGAACGCGATCATGAATCAATTTGCAGCCGCCCAACAGGCTTTCCTCCTCCAGCACGATCTCGACGATGAAGATGACGAAGAGGAAGATAGCGATGGCCAAACTTCGACAAGCAAGATGGCACTCGATCCTGAGATTGAAAAAACTTATGGCAACTGTATCGTCTGTCAAGAAGATTTGACCAAGGCCCGTTGCTTCGGCGCACTCGGTCTAATCCAGCGCAGTAGGATGGTCAGACTAACCCCAGTACATCTCGAACCGGAACAAGCGGGTCTATGGTTTGAAGAAGCATTACTGACCCCTGAAAGTCTTGATGTTGATGGAAGGAAAAGCTCACCGGCGGGGGTCGCGAGCAGACAGCCTGTGAACCTGTCCGATACTAAGATTGGACCCGATGGTAGTCTCGAACCAGTAGCATGGGTCCCACGAGGATTCCCCAATGGGGCTGGCAATCGATCTGGTCTGTTCGCCTCCGTATGTGGTCACCTGATGCACTTCGCCTGTTTCCAGACCTACTACAAATCCATCGAACTCCGTCATGGTACCCAAGTCACTCGGAACCACCCCGAGAGCATCGACCGATGCGAGTACCTCTGCCCGTTGTGCAAGTCTATCGGTAATGTCTTCCTGCCCTCCGTTGACCCTAGTACGCCGCTCGTCAAGCCACAGGATTCTCCGTCTTCAACCGATCTGGCCGATTGGATTTCTTCGGTAGGCACCATAGAAGCCAAAATGAAGGAGGAAACTGGCGCAGGAAGTTACAACCAGCTCTTCTCTCTGAACGAATATGGTGCCATTAAGTCCTGGTTGGTCCACCTCAAACTCGACCCTCATCCGCGCCGTAGTTCAACGGCCACCAGGCTGGGGACCGAAGAGCGGGCGATGCTGGAGCGATTCCTGACGGTGACCGCGGCACTAAACCGAGAGCTGCCAGACCCGTCAGAGGCGCTAGGGCCGGACACGTCAGATGGATTGGGCCAGGCGACGTTGACGCGGGACTTGATTGGCTACACGATCGCATGCACCGAAATTGCCGCCCGCGGCCTGGCCCAGACCGGTGGCGTCGCCGGCTCGATCTCGGAGACCCAACAGCAGCTGATCAGCAGTCTCATTACCGTCCTCGGCTGGCTCCTCGAGGCTGAGACCGGACACCCATCAATTGAAGAGTACGCTACCGGACTCTTGATCCGCCAGCTCGCCCCGGCCAACATCCTCGCCCATACGACCCGTCTCACCGGCCATCTCCCCCGCAGGCCGCTGCTCTTCTCCGAGCCGTTATCCTTGCTCGTGTACTGTGCGATTGCAGCGCCAGAGAAACTGACTCTGCTGATCCCGCTCTGTTACCAACTCGAGCTCCTGAGAGTAATGATCGGACTGTGCTACCTGTCGAAAAAATTCCCATACAAATGGTGGACATCCGAGCGAGTGAAGATCAACCGGACAAAGCCCCATCGACTAAGCGAGGGCGGCGCGCTGGGCCTACTCCTAGTCAAAGTGATCGACGTTTGTGGGGCCGAGGGTTCGGTGCTCTTGTCGGCCGACGAATGGGAACTGGAGCGGATCGTCCGACTTTACACCCTCCCCTTCCTCCGTCGGGCTTGGATTTTACTTAACGTGATCGGCAAGCAACCCCCATGTGATCGTCGAGGGGACGACGAAGGCGACGAGGAGGAGGACGAACATGTGAGGTTGAAACGAGCGATGAGGATCCCGAGTTTCTTGGACTTGAGAGGAGACGAGAAAGATGACCCATTGACGGGGAAGAAAACAAACACGCAAATCTATCGACTGATGATTGTAGGATGGCTAGGAGAACTCACGGAATACATCCGGGCGAATTACGGGAGTTCTAGGAGCGGGTTAGGCGGCGTGATGGATGGTAAAAGTCTCAGATTGATCGAGGATTTCAGGATCAGGGATGGATTCTTTCAGCTCGAACATCCGGTGATCTATGAACTCTTAGGCCTGCCGATCAAGTTCGATAAATTGCTCAGTCGGGCGGCCATCAAGAAGTGTCCCAATTGTAATGCGGTGCCTAATGATCCTGGGATATGTTTGCTCTGTGGGGCAACGGTTTGTGTGCAAGCTTTTTGTTGTACTAATCGGAACTTAGATGAGGAGCCTGAACATGGTGAATGTAATGTTCATATGTGGAAGTAAGTCCCTCTCCCTTCTTCTTGTTCTTGCCCTTTTTAAACATGTTGGGGTTGATTTGATTCCGGGGGATTTTTAGTTGTGGGGGCTCGGTAGGCGTGTACCTCTTGATCAAGAAATGTTCAACCTTATTCTTAGCGGCCGAGAACGGGGCGTTTTCGATGGCACCGTATTTAGATGAACATGGAGAACACGATGTAGGAATGAAGTAAGTGTACTACATCAAGTATTCCATCTCCTTCCCCTTCATATGCTGTATGTCATCTGATCCAATCGTGTGTGTGTGCGTGTTTCTTTTGTAGGAGAGGCAGACCTCAGTTCTTACATCAGGCTAGATGGGACGAGATCCGTCGAGTTTGGTTGACCCATAACGTTCCTACCTTTGTCGCTAGAAGACAAGAGGCTAGCACCGATGTCGGTGGATGGCCTACTTTTTGATCATCCCAGACTGATCATCCCTGTCCTATTCCCGCATTCCCTTCCCGTTCTCGCTCTCTCCCTCTCTCTTTCTCTATCTAGCTCAATCTTCTTCCTTCCTTCCTTGTTTGGGTCTATACTTCATTAGGCTCTCGCTCATTTCTTTCATCTTCACATCCTTTCTGTCTGCTGTAGCTTTTACATTTATTTATTGATTCTCAAAGTGGAGGGAAAGATATTATGAGGGGTTTTCCTTTTTCTCTCTCTGTCTCTCTCTTTGTTGATTTCTGAATTTATTTCTTTACTGTTATAATTTGCATGTCAATGAATCAAACAAAACCCAGTTTTTTGGGGGGGCATCATGGAGGGTTACATCTGATGAGACTGCAGTCTGTTGATCAGGTGGGATTTCGCAGGATTGTGTACCAATCGCAATCTCCGTTCCTGGATGTCGCCACCCATCGGCAATGCTTGATGGGACTGTGGGCCAGTGCCCTTCAGAGGGGGGGTTGGCGGATATGCAGTATGGATAGAGTGAGTATGGTTATGCAATATGAATTTTCATCAGATTTCGGACACAGCGATCCTTGGCACAAGAGACCCCGGAGAAGAACACACCACATATTAACGACCATGTCATCAGTCAACAGCGGAAAACTGAAAGCGAAAAAGCAAGAAGATGGAAGCCAAAGTAAGGAAGCAGGCCAAACGATAACCACGCCGAGCGGGACTGCTCAGACCAAGCCCGACAAGAAAAAGAAAAAGAGGAAGAAAGACGAGACGGAACTAGAGCCGGATGAGACGGTGGCCAAGGATTCGGAAGCACCCTCTCAAGCTGACCAAAGCGGAAAGAAAAAGAAAAAGAGGAAGAAACAGGCACAAGATGCTCCTCCGAATCCAGAACAAACGCTGGTGGAATCCAAAGAGCCCGTCGGAAAAGCTGCCGGTCTAGAAGAATCGATAGCGACGACGGACGTGAACATGGCTGAGGCGAAAGATGATGATAATCCCACGGATAAGAAGAAGCAGAAGAAGAAAGATAAAAAGAAGAAGAATAAGCAACCTGACGATCTCCCAACTACCGAGCAACTTCCCTCAGTTCATGAAAACCTCCCGCCATCAACAGCTCCCAACCATAGCACCTCTTCTACCTCGAATCCACCAAAATCCGTCTCAGATACCAAAAACATCGAACCAAGCCCATCAATATCAACAGCAGACGTTGAGAGCACTAAAAAGTCAAAGAAGAACAAGAAAGAAAAAAAAGGTCAGTTAAGTCTTCATATCACTGACACCCAACCTGATTCTTTCAAAATGTTACCAATTCTCAGAGTACAGAAATCTGATCGAGAAACTACTCCTCCTCCACAGACAAGAAACCTTCCGACCAATCTGTGCCAGTCGCCCCAACAACATCCCCAAATCCCACTTCACAATCTACCGATCCGGCAGAAATCGAGCAATTCATTTCCTCCAACAAGCTTACATATGAGCCCCCTGAGATCGTAACTCAACTTCCCCCCGTTCTCAAATTCGAAGATGTTGTTGTACACGACTCATTACGGAAGGCCTTCTCCGCATTTCAAAAACCCAGCCCTATCCAATCTGCGGTATGGCCTGTACTGATGGCCGGAAGAGATGTCGTGGGGATCGCAGAGACCGGGTCAGTCATAATCTATGCTGTCTACCTCCACAGAAATATGATCAACTGAGAGCTGACGGGTCTCTCCTGATTCCAGGTCTGGGAAAACTCTAGCATTTGGTGTGCCGGCCCTTCAGCACATCTTAGATGGCGACAAGAAAAGCAAAGCCATCAATGTTCTAGTCATCGCCCCTACCCGTGAGCTCGCCATGCAGACTGAAACCACACTTTCCGACTTGGGAAAGTTGGTGTCTCCCCCAATCAAGAGTCTCTGTGTTTACGGTGGAGTCGACAAAAACATCCAACGAAAAGCGCTTGCCAATTCTGCGGTCCGAGTCGTCGCTGGTACGCCCGGTCGGCTCCTTGACCTGGCAAATGAGGGTCATCTAAAATTAGATCAAGTCAGCTGGCTGATTCTAGATGAGGCTGATAGAATGCTCGATAAGGTACAGTCACACTTCCCGCTCGTTTTTTTTTTTCTCGTCACCGCTGACTGCTATTTTCCTCCAGGGATTTGAAAACGATATCCGAGCGATCATCAACCTCTGTCGCCCCTCTCGCACCGAAGATTCAAAGAGCCGATTGACGACGATGTTTTCAGCTACTTGGCCTACAAGTGTCAGAAGATTAGCGGCAGACTTTATGCACGAACCTGTCCGAATACTCGTTGGGGCCGACGAACTGACTGCCTCATGTAGCGTCGAGCAGACGGTCGAAGTCTTGGAAGAAACTCGAGGGAAAGAGTGGAAACTGCTCAATACACTCAAGGAGTTGGGCAAAGACAGTCAAAAAAATAAATCCAAAGACAAAATTATCGTCTTTGCCCTCTACAAAAAGGAGGCACAGAGGCTGCATGAGTTCCTTCTACGTAAAGGCTTTCAAGCTTGCTGTATCGAAGGAAATATGTCCCAAGATAAGCGAAGTAAATCGTTGGAAGATTTTATGACTGGCAAATCGACCATTCTTGTCGCTACAGGTTTGTCTTCGCATTTCTGCAATTATCCGCATCTATCTCTTACAAATCTGCGGCAAACTGTCTTACTTTTTCCTTGTCTTCTAAACACAGATGTTGCAGCTCGAGGATTGGACATTCCTAAAGTGGAGGTAGGTCTTGGACACCCTTGCAGTTACGAGGAGCAATCGGAAAAGAGATTGACTTTTTTTGCTTTTTTTTGCTTAGTTTGTCATCAATGTGACTTTCCCACTAACAATTGAAGACTACATTCATCGGATCGGACGAACTGGTAGAGCTGGACGCACAGGCAAAAGCATCACATATTTCACCGATGAAGACAAGTCCCATGCTGGCGAGTTGATGAGGGTTCTGAAGGATGCTGGCCAAGTTAGTTCTTCTCGTTATTTTCTTTCCCCTGTTTCTTTCAAGTCAAATCGTATCACCTCTTGTTATTTTGTTGGGCTCAACTATACCAACTTTCCAGGTCGTGCCGGAAGCTCTCAAACAGTGGGGCGGCCAAATCAAGAAGAAAACTGTAAGTTTGTTTGATCCAACTTCCCTGATGAACAGCGTGGTAATCTTGCTTTCCTATCTCTCTCTCTCTAGCACGCCGCTTACGGGGATCATTGGAAAGAAGTGGATACAACTATCAAAGGTAAACATGCCTCTTTTTTTCCACCAAGCGCTATTGAGAACATCATGCTGATACGATTTATCCTCGCGCTTGAACTCTCAAATCTTCCCCGATAAACAAACCCCTTCAGCCAAGAAAATTACATTTGATTAACGGAATCACAAACCAATGTGGACTACAAAAGACTTACTGTTACCCACCGGAAATCTTACATCATCTGGTAAATACCGCCCAGCGTGGGTCTCATGAGCCCTTTTTCCTCTTATGACTCGTTGTCAAACTTGATTCAACTGGGTGCATCCATCTCAATCGTGGTACATACTCGTCTTTTTATCCGTACATGAGGAATATAGTTCTTGATTGGACATGTCTACCCTCGATCTAGGTCCATTCCTCCGTGCCAAATGGTGTCCCGTTTTCACTTGCACACACTTTTAAGCGCATAGTAGACACATCCGATCACCACGAAATGTCGTCTGCTCTCCCTTAAACTTCGAGGTTTCTTGAGTTTGGAAAGACAGCTATTTGGCCTCCTCGGAAGCTTGGACAATGTTGTTGGAACTCAAGCCACCCTGAGAAAGAAATTAAGCATAATTCAACCCTTGATGAAAAAGCTTACAATAGGTGAATTTGAGGAGTTTCCTTAAGGTTATCCCGCAATCATGACGGCTTGGGTCTCGCGTTTGTTGAACCCCAAAACACTTATTCCATCAGGAACACCCACCAATGCTGAAGAAAGTTTCCTCCGGGACCTGAGCGTTCTTTTTGTGTCATCATCTCATGACTACGTAGGCATGCGAATGCTCGAAGAAAGGAAACTGAAACTTGCGTCACTCAGGCAGTACCTGGAAATTGTCAACCCATGAAACGATTGACTGCGCGAGTGAGATATGTACAAAGCTGCAGTTCAGGATAGTCATTGGCGGAATTATTACAGGCTTGCATTGCCACAGCCCTAATTTTCCAAAGCGCCGTCTGTGAGTCCATGATACATGTACGGAAAGCGGAAAGATGAATGTGGTACTGGCTGGGATTTGGTTTCAACTCTAGTATTGGTCCTCGCTGGGCCATGCCCCGGCACAGACATGAACCATGAGATCACCACTCATTAACTCGCGAGTGCAGTCAACAGCTTTTTCCTGCTGCATACATCATAACAAGTCTTGGGAGTATCGCCGGGTCGTGTAGGGCTTATACGCCGATCTAGCGAACGCCTCTTGCCTCCGACCGACCATCCTCGGCGATTCTTGGCCAAACTTCAGGGGATCTAAAGCTGACTAACTGAGCCAGCATCAATTGTTGATGGCGAATAAGCATTCAATCTTCAAGAATGAAACGGCTTTCTTTTCCCGCAATCGGATCACTCATTCGGCTCGGCATCCTAGTGGCAGGAATCTCACTGACTTTACAAGCTCTGGGATCCCCGAGCAAGCGTCCAATCTCATTCGTCGCAGGGGCTTCCCGTCCTCTTAAAATCACTTGTCTTACCATCGGCTCCAGAGGAGACGTCCAGCCTTTCATTGCGCTCGGCCTCGGACTCCAGCAAGATGGTCACATTGTCACTATTGCAACTCATCTCGAGTTTAAAGACTTGATTGAAGACTCTGGAATCGGTTTCAGAAACATTGGCGGTAACCCTCAAGAACTCATTAAGCACTGCGTCGAGTATGGTGCGTCTCACCTTGAACCTTCTTTCCTAGAGAAACCCCGAAAGTTAAGTCTACCCTTTACGATCGCAAATCAGGCTTTTTTTCGCCGGAATTCTACATCGAAGGTTATACCAAGGTAAAGCATCTTCACCGATTCAAAGTTTCACGCGATCCATAGTTTTTGTTGTAGCAGCCATGTCACAATTTAGCGTGAAGTATGCTGTAAGGTTCTGAATGTGTCTTTCTTTTTCAGTTTCGAGAGTGGGTGGATGAGCTGCTGATTACTGTGCCAGCAGCTTGTCAAGGGACCGATGTCTTGATTGAAAGTCCTACGGCCATGATGGGCATTCACGTCGCTGAGAGTATGAAGATCCCATACTTCAGAGCGTTTACAATGCCGTGGACACCGACGACAGAGTATCCGCATCCCTTCGCCGTCACTTCTCAACAATTGGGAAAATATTACAATCGAATGTCGTGAGTCGGTGTCGCTTGCTTTGTCTTTTTAGGGATGAAATACTCATTTATCTATGTTATGCCTCCATCAAGTTATACGATGTTTAACTATCTCATTTGGAAGGGAATCGAATCGAAAGTAAACAAATGGAGAGAAAAAAAGCTAAAGCTCAAACCTACATCATTCGCAAAGCTCCGGACAGCAGATATACCCTACTTGTATAACTTTAGTGAACATATCGTCCCAAAGCCCCATGATTGGAGCGACAAGACGCATATCACCGGATACTGGTTTCGCGACCAACAGAAAAAGAGTGATCAAAAGAAAATCGAAGAATCCATCCCCCTGGACCTCCGCTCCTTCCTGCAAAAAGCCAAGGATAACGGCAAGAAAGTGATTTATATTGGCTTCGGATCAGTAAGTAAAGTAGAACTTGGCAGGATATTCATCCATCTCAGAATCTAATGAATGTGCGAGGATAGGTGATTTTCCCTAACGCGGAAGAGGTCCAACGTAAACTTGAGAAGGCAGTCAGGAAGGCAGGAGTTTGGGCGGTCGTTTCTGGGGGTTGGTCTGACATGAAGCCGCTCGAAAAGGATTTGGAATCGGTGGGCTCCTCTCGATCTCAGGATACGCCAATACATTATGTTGGAGCCGTCCCCCATGAATGGCTGTTTTCTCAAGTAGACGCCACTTTGACTCACGGTGGAGCCGGCACTACTGCCGCTAGCTTGCGCGGTAGGCACTCCTTGATCATGACTATTATTTCAGTAGCCTTGACCTATATTGAGATCGTTTAAATTTGTTTGAATAATTTAACAGCTGGAATACCGACACTGATCAAACCCTTCTTTGGTTAGTCTTCCAGTAATCATTCGCCCAGATTTATACATTTACTCATAAAATGACTAACCTTTTGAAATTGTAGGAGATCAATTCTTTTGTAAGTATTGATCTGTCAAAAAATCACTCAGATCTCTGGGGTCTGACTGTTGGTGATCAACTTACAGGGGCCAAACTTGTGAAGAAAATGGGCGTCGGTGGCCATGTCAAAAAGTTTAAGGTCTCTGAGCTTGCCCGAGCCTTTCGGATCGCAACTACCAACCGGGAACAGATTTGGAGAGCGAAAAAGATTGGAGAGGCCATCCGTAAGGTAAACCAGTTCAGATAAACTTACCTTGCACAATCAATTTGAATATGTAAACTGACTTGGAATCAAAAAAAAGGAAAATGGTGTAAGGACTGCAATCCAGAAGATGTACAAAGTGAGGCTTTGATGGTTTCCCATCACATTCTTATTTGATTTCAAGGAATTCTGAAGCAATCTTCTTGTTGGATTTTCAGGACATGGATTATGCGAGAAGATTGATGATGGTTGGGTTAGGCCAAGATGACTATGGCCCGATCCCGAAATTCCCGAGAGAGAAAGTGTACTCGTGGCTCAAACAATTCCTGCAAGATGAAAAATCGAGCATCCATCTCCTCCTGTTGTGCATCCTTCGAGCGCTTCAGTATTATTCCACTCAGCAACAGGCTTTGGGCTCCAATCATCAAAATCTACAACCGCCCCTTCAAGCAACATTGGCTTGGAATCTCACTGCTTCAATTGCTAATCAGCCACCATTATCAACATTATTGACAACTTAACACACCTTCTCCTTAGAATAAGCCTTGACATTAATTTGCCAGAATTGTATATCTTGAACTTCATTTTCTTCCTTTTATTTTTTTCTGTGAAGCAGCTAATATATACAAATTGAAGCTTGTGACATATTTGTTCAACCACATGTTTCAAATGAGATCTCCTAGGAAGAAGGGTTAGAATCTTTCAGTTTCAAAAGGAAAACTTCAAATATTTGCTGATTGAGGTTTGCCAAGACGGTTATTAGCTAAGTTCACTTGAGCAGAATGGGGAGCCTCACTTCATTCTGATGGCCACACACTGTGACAAATAAGTGCATGTCTGGGTTTGGCATCAATGGTTGAAACATTCAGGAAGCTTATGGGGTACAAAGGCTGTCCCTGGAATTCTTTACAAGGAGTATTTGTTGTAGGTATTCTACTCCTATCCTAGCAGGTATGAAGCAGGACAAAAACTTAAAAGTATCTGTGACTTTCAGAGTTTACATTGAGGGGGAATTCAAAATCCAGGCCAGTGGATAAATTACTTATTTCTTCAATATCTCACAAGCTGAACCATTTGGGAAAGAAAACAAAAATCCAGTTTGTTGATGACAATTTAAGTATATCTAGTTTATGAGTTTTAGATCTCATTTGATAGATCTTGATCATCAAATAAGGGTCCGTGATGGAAACTTGACCCAACCTCCTGATCATCCTAATTGCAAGTTCAAGTATCTTAGCAATGCTTATTTTTCACCTCCAGTTTAATGGATCCATCATGTACCTACAAGATTGGAGCCAGTTGTCGGATGCCAAGATAGACAGTTGATAAACTTCTGGGTTTTGCTCTCTCCCTGATTTTTTTTCTAAGTTGATGGAAGTTCATGAACCCACAACCACCAAACAATCTCATTTGGTCCCCATTTGAGCCTATGCACATGACACATGAGGACATGTGTGTCTTGTTTCAGTATTTGTACCTATACAACTACGGCCTTGTTTTGTCAATTCTTGTGACATCTGATGCAGTTTTAGCAGACCTGATCAGATGTCAGATAGGGCAAGAATATTCACATATTGCTTGCAGTATATCACTGCCAAACAGGGCCTAACTTCATGAATTGCTCTCATTTTAGAACCTCCAGCCTTGACATTTTCTAATCCTACATCTTCAAGTGGTGATAAACCTATCCAGTTCTCACCACCCAAACATGTCTTAGAAAGTATCTCTGGGAAGTTTGACTCACGTAATAAGATTGAATGCCAATGGGAAGCTCTTTGTGCTCTCATTCCCCCACATGATATTGTAGGAACATTTACAGCAGGCAATGAAACATTACAGTTTTGAAAAATATGTAATAATGAAAGAAAAAGAACTTCCAAACTGACAAAGAGTCAAAGCATCAGGTTTTTCACTTGACCACATACAAGCTCTCTTGAATTTATGCTGCACAACTTATACCAAAACCATGATTTAATAAAAAAGGGGACAAAAATCACGCTGATTTTGAGGAAAAACGCGTTGGAACTTGAAGGTGACATTATTCTGACCTCTCCCCACTGGTGATTTTGATCACCCCACATTGTAGTCAAGTTACTTCCTGGTCAGTGGTAGGAATCGATGTCAGACGTCGAAAGCCATATAAGTTAGCGTGCCCCGTGCATCTCTGTCCTTCCTACAGTCGACACCGTACCAATGTTATAACAGCCTCTTCATAGATTCATGATGCTAAACCCAAGCCACGCATTCCTGAAAACTGTTGAACAAAGACAAGATCAGAGGAATTTGTTGATCGGAATGCCGTGTTTTTGGCATAAATTAATCGGGCAAGCCGATCCGAAAAATCATCGGACATACTTATCCGACTAGCTCCGAGGGGCCCAGCGGGGGGGCAGGACACGTCGGACACGTCGGTCTAAGACTTCGGTGATGTCAGCCATCGCACTATCAAAGACATGGCAGGAGTGCGACATTCAAGGACTTTCCCGAGGATGTGATCAAATGTGGTTGAATGGACGGTCGGAACAACCCCTAAAGTTCCGATTTGCTCAGATGGCTGCGCTTTACATAACTTGTGAGTCGTGAGCAGCTTTGGCGACGGGTCTTGGCAGTCACATGAATGTTATTTCTATCCAGGCACGTTCCCTTAATGGTCAAGTATAGACCTCCACTGATTATCAATTATTCTGCCGGCGATTTAAAGCTCCTCCAGCTTGATACATCTCGAAGATGATTTCTTTCCTTGGTCTCATAAGTTGCGTATTTTCTTATTTTCTTTTTTCACCGAAAGGGCACTTCTCGGGTGATTTGCAATCTGGTGGCTAACAAATCAACGTGTTCTTAATGGGATTTGTTGGACTTATTTAGTTCTTCTTGGTGCTTTCCTATGGCATATCGAATCGCGGCCCACCAACACGGTAAATTACAAACCACCGCCTAAAAACCAACCAGCACCTGCGGGCAAACCTAATTCCAGCCATGTGTGAGCCTTTGGGATCCTTCCTTGCATATTAGCATCAAGTCTCACATGAATGTTGTACGTTTCCAGTGATGTCTGCTCGTTTGATCCAGGTATGAATAGTTGTTCACAAGGATTTTAGTGCATCGGGCCTACACATGTAACATCGCAATGCCTGGAATGAATCTTTATTTAACTTGATCATGAAAAAAGTCTGCAGATCGCCAGTATAGCTTGCAAAGCGATTCCTATTCATCTAAGGTGGAAAAGATTAGTTATGCAGCTTCCTGGGTTTTGCTGCATGTCTTGAGGAGAAGAGTGAAAACAGACATTCTGGAAGATGGCTGTTGCCTTCTGTTGGCAATTTAATATAAAAATTCACCATGTTTTGCCGGCCCTATCTCCTACGTCTCATGGGAATTTGTCTTGTAAAGCTCAAGCCCACTCACTTTTACTTGTGGAGATCTGTCCATTGTACCATATTGCACCCAGCCCACCTTGGCGAGGTTTTCTGGGATGGAGAATTGAACGTCGGATGATCAGATTTGCCAGATAGTTATTTCTCGATACTTCCATGATGATATTCATAAACACCAACCAAGTTCCAACCATCTTACTTTAGTAGTAGGTCTCAATCACTATGTGCCCTGAGGGCAGCCACCAACATAGAGCGCGCCAGGGGCGTCCGATTCCATCCCCAAATGAGGATGCGCTGTCACACCAGACCTCAAATGTGATATGTATCCGGCCAGTCTCTGCGATTCATCTAGCGCTGTATGTATCAAGAATCAGGTGACCATTCTCTAGTGCACCCGGATTCACAAGCAGCTGCGGTGGAGCAAGGTCGGAGGCTGCGGGGCTGCATTGAAAACCCGTCGGGGGACCCGCATGATCACAAATTTTCGAACTTCGCGGCCCGTCCCATCTCTGGAATACGGTACCATCGCTCGTATCCGTTTGAGACATTCGCAATGGCAAAGCTGACCCCAGCCGAGTACGACGCACTTTCCCCAGAGGAACGAAAGGCACACGATGAAGCTGAGAGCGAGAGGGAAAGAGAAGAGCAAGCTAGTATGTGTCATCTTCGCAGCAGGCTGATTGAACAGACTCGGGGTGGTAATCGCTAATCAGACATTATCTACGATACGAACATTAGAGCTTCCGTTTACGTGGAAGCAAAGCTTACAGGACGTTACCCTCAACATCCCCGTCCCTCCCGGAACGAAGGCACGCGACCTCGTAGTGGAGATCAAGAAAACGAAGCTTAAAGTCGGCCTGAAAGGCAAAGAACCAATCATGGATGGCACTCTGTGTAAAGAAATCAAGCAGGAAGAATCTACCTGGACATTGGGTGTGTGGGTTGGCTAACGATAAAAATCAAACGGAGAGTCTCAAGCTTATCGACTCGAACCTGTCCGTACCCCGAGAAAATTCTAGACGACAATAAAGAAATCAATCTTCACCTGGAGAAAATCAATCAAATGTCATGGTGGGAGAACGTTCTGACGCATCATCCGAAGATTGACACGACCAAGATCACACCTGAGAACAGTAAACTGAGCGAATTGGATGGGGAGACACGGGCGATGGTCGAGAAAATGATGGTAGGAAGTTTCTCGCTCTGCCTTGTTGGAGTGGTGCTTAGCTCTGCCACGCTCTCGCCCTTTTAGTTCGATAACCAGCAGAAACAAATGGGCAAGCCGACATCTGACGAGCAGAAAAAGCTCGAGGTAAGACTTAGTCTTGTCTCTTGCCAAAGTATCCTGCTACTAAACGTCGTTTTTCTTCTTCTGGTACAGATGCTGGAAAAGTTCAAAGCCGCGCATCCAGAGATGGACTTTTCGAATGCGAAGATTGGCTGATCTCGAACACTTTCCAACCGGAGAAACTTACATCTTGTGATTTTTTGGGAATCAGATGATACTTTGCAACAACTATTGTAACTCAACAGAGCTAGCAATAGTAATAGAAAAAACAATGCTGAAGTAGGCAAGACCGTAAGAGTATCTCAGAAAAATGATCTGAAAGGGAAGGTCAAAATATTCAAAGGATGAAATTGGTGTATGAATCAAGTCCTTCAAGTTCCAGTAAAAACGATGCAAGCCGAAGTGGTTTCACACTTTGTTATATCCAAGTGTGATTAGTGTGTAACAGATGTGGGTGGCTTTTGAAACCTATCCAAAACTGGCAATGCAGAGTGGTGCACAGTGACAATGCACAGTACTTGATTCTTGTCAGGTAGACTACGAGGGCCCTCAAAATTTGAATCAATTTGATGTCTGTTTTGTTCAAAGATGTATAGAATGTGAGAGGAGATATCAACATTCAAATTGTAAAATCTTGACCAATGAAAGAGAGATAATAGATTTAATCTAATTAATAAAGAGACCTCAAGGAGTCAACACAACAAATCTATGTATACTATTATGTATATCTGAAAGGATCTCTTCAAAGGGACTGGTTTTGGATTTCATCACAATACAGTAAGAACATCTGCCAATCTAATCTTGGGTTGAAAAAGGTGTTCTCTCAATAGGTTTTGGATTGGTTTGCTGTGGTGGTTCATCCAAACTTTAAAAGGAGGTGTTTGCTCATAACTGAGAATAAGCATATGCAGGCTTTAATTGATGTGGAACATAGAGCCAATCAAAGATGAGTCAAAAGCTTTAGAGTGTATTGAATGAGCTACCAGGAAAAAAGAAGATGAATTGTTGAAGGAAGTTGAAATAAGATGGAGAGTAAAATCAAATAATTTTGAGAGAAAAATAAAATATATAACAGAGGGGGGAGGCTAATGTGAAGTTGACCAAAAAGAGGAGAGGGAAGTGAAAAAGACTTTCAACACTGGCATTGCTGATGACAGATTGGTAGAGAATCTTGACAGTTGTGAAAGATGATATGAAATTGTAACTGATAGGTCCAAGAGCCTAACTGAATTTCATACAAATTTTGTAATGCAGAGTTGATGATCATTCAGAGCTAATTGGTGAAGAACCTTGGAAACCTTTTCTGTTCCAAAGATCTTTTGATCTGTGGGCTTTTCATCAACAAGATTCAATAAATGATCTAGAGTGAATTTTCATTGTGAAGTTCTTCTCTCAAATCTTTGTGTATTTTGCTTCAAATTCAATCTCTCTGAGGGAATAACCTATCTAGAGCAATACAAACAAACTTATAACAAGGGGCAGGGCATTGCTGCTATGGTTGACTTAGCCTCAACCATTCAATTTCTCAGCAACTCATTCAACAGTAAGGTTTTTTAGCCAGACTGGGCTACACCCTCTGTGACGTTGTAGTGTTAGCCTTTTTTTTGGCGGATTTTTGCTAATCTATGCTGCGCTTGGAATTCACTATGCAAGTCCATATTCCCCACCTCAAAATACATATTGATTGAGAAGTGGATGTGGGTGAGCAGCACGATGACATTGACGATGATGTGCAAACCTTCTTGTGGGAAGCTAGCTAGGGCAGTTCAAGAAAAGTGTTTCCCAATTAAATAGATTTACATTGGCCTCAAACAAATGCATGCAAGACCATGTCATCCACGAGATGAGCTCTGGAAGGTCATCTGACCCCCAAATCTCAAAGATTTTGAAGCTTCCAATCCTTGGCATACATGTATTTTTTTTTTTAAAAAAAAAGTTGAGATTTCTCAATCAATTTTGTACTCTTTAAGGAGCAACAAACACGGATGAGCGGAGCATTAACCTTGAGGGCTGATGCATACACTCCTTCTCATGGCCGCAAGCAAGCGCAGCTCAAAAAAAACAAAAAAACAAAAAAAACGCATGGGTATTTAGTTACTCATGCAGGTTATACACCTTTTTTTTTAATCTGAAACGGCCAGATCAAACACTCCGGATGGACAGCTGATGTGTGACGGAGTTGATGATTTACCTCATAACGGCGACTCTTTTGAGGTCTTTCGCAGTGGCCACAAAGGATGCATGTATGTATGTAGGCGTGTTTTGCTCAGACAAGTGTGGAATGGGAGAGTAAGTTTGTGCTCTGTTGAGAGACTGGCAGCCACTTTCTTTATAAAGTAGACTGTTGTTGTTGTTGGAATTCGAGGGATTTGATTGATACATACAAGATTTGTTTTTTATGATTGAATCTTGGCATAGCCAAAATATTATCATCGACGAAACAGATGATATGTAACCCATTCTGCTTGGAATGAGGATGGCGTCGGTTTTTCAAGATGATCTTGAAGTGGTTATTAGATAACTGGTTGATTTTAAATCCAATCGGATTCGGATTGTCCAGTTCGACAAGCTTGTATGACTGTCTGGGGAACCGTTTTCATTTGTCTTGTTCCTGGACATGAGTCAAAGAGGCTCCGTCGGTCGGTTGACTGAAGTTTTTTAGGACTGCTTTTGTTTTCCTGTGTGTATGGATGATCAGGACATTTGTATCAATTGGACTGAAAGATAAAGTGTACAATTGAGTCCAGTCGGAGATTTTGTCGGTGGGAAGTTTGTGCAGGGAGCTTTGGATGATGCGGAGAAATAAGTACATAATAAGGTTTGAGGGGCTGCGCAGATGACATGCTCACATGACAGAACTGTCGATGATCGTGCTGTGTATTGGTGAGTCATCCCAATCAAGCCCAGTTGACCGTCCTTCTCAGTCTCTCCTCTGTTGACCACACTTCCCATTCTCTGACTTTTTCCTCTTGACCGTCAAGTTCGATCAGAAAAACAAGCAGAATGTAAACTGCACCCATCTAACAACTCAAGAAGAATGCAACAGCCATCCACAAACAACCATCATCAGACTAATAATCTCCCCAACCAATCTCAAGCTCAACCCATCTCATCAATCGATCTCCATCAAAACAACCTCAAGCCTCATCGCCCTAACGATCAGATGTTCGTCTCCCTCGACCGACCCCCTCTCAACCTACACCAATCAGCTGGCCCATTCAGTAGTCCACTCAGCTCTCCTCTGCCTGACCTACGTACAACCGATCATGACCCACCGAGCACCTTCTCCCCCAGAGGATCGATCTCACTAGATCCCACTCATCATCCAAACCTCAACCTCAGATCCTTCAACAACAACAACAACAACAACAACCGTCAAACTACCACCAACAACAATCCTCCAGCACTACAATCTGCCTCACTCCCATTCCCAAAACGAACTCATCCGGTCACCAACATCTGGGCTCAAGCTATCGACACTCCCACTTCGACTTCCTCCTGTTCAGGCTCTGATTTCGAACTCAACTCTCCCTTACTCAGTCATCCTTCCATGATCAACCGAAGATTCAGTCACCTCAGCACAACCCAACCCCACCACCCTCAATCCCCCATCGGCTCACCCGCTAGCATTGCCGATCCCATCGGACCCATCTCACTCAGTACGGACCGATACCGCGGTAGCCTAACCCCAACCAGTCCACTCAGCACCAGCTTCGGCCCCAACTCACTGCCTTCAAACTTCTATCAACCCTGGTATGATTCTAGTCTATCGGCAGATGGCCTACTCGCTCAAGACGAACGGATCGGGAGATCCAAGGCTCGCGATATCCTCGGTACCCGTCAAGCCGGCTCGTACAGAGATCCTAGCGTGGGTAGCATCGGAAGCCCCTGTAGCTCTAGTGCTCGGAGTGGCATCGGTCTCAGCAACATGAGTCCCTTCACTGGTACCTCCCTCCTCCCCCCAGGTGGGCCAGTCTCATTCGGGGGCTCGCTGACCACCCACAACCTCGACCTCGGATATCGAACCAACCGGGCTCGTGATAGCAGTCTGGGCGCCATCGGATCTGGAAGGATGACCTCGAGGAGCTCGGTACCATCTGCTTCAAGTGGGCCTATCGGTTCTGGCTTAGGCTTGGCGAGTAGCGGCAGTCGAATGCTCAACAAAGGATCCGACTTTGGCTTTGTGGGCTCGGTGGGTACCGACAGCTGGTTGACGGGAGGTCGAAGCCTGAGTAACGATTTGGATGAAGATGATGAATTTGCTCCACCTACCAAGTCGGGCGCCACCAGTCGTCGTCACAGTGTTTCTGCCTTCATCGGGGGCAGAAGCTCCGTCCAAGGTTTCGAGCCTGTTTCCACTCGCACACATAATAATACCTCATCTCTCCTTAACGATAAAAAGAACCACCGAGTTCCAATGGAAAGCGTTCACAGTTCATCTGGTATACCCCTCGGTTCGATCGATAACCCCAACAAGAACGATCATCAGCCTCAATACGAGATATTTGGACCGAGTAGCACGGCCTTGACTGATGAAGACCTTTGCTTCACCGCCGACTTTAACTCGCTCAACCTTGACCTAGAAACACAAACCAGTCGGGAACCCAGCGATCGTCTCAGCTTTCAATTTAGTAACCACTATCAAAATAACAACCATCAATCTGCCCAACAATCACCCTTTCAGCCCAAACCGAATCATCCCGCAGAGAACAACCATGATCGCTCAGCAATCCCTCCCCTCAACAATATGCCTTGGTCGGCCGTCTCCCCAGCAACAACCACTACACAAGGACCGGCACCTGGTTCGAATGTTAACCCGTTCGGCGGGCCTGGGAATTTTGCCCGTAAGTCTTCATTCAGCGCTGGCGACCCGTTCAGTGCATCCGCGCAAGCTTCGCGGTACTTTGCTTCTCAAGCCGGAAATTCGATGGGTACTGTTCAGGATGCACAACCACCTCCCGGATCACGCTTCCCGTTTAGCCACTCAGGATCGGCCCTCCAGCCACTAGGTTCACTCAGTAGTCCGGCAGTCACCACATTCAGTGCTAGTGGTCTTCTCTCTGCCCCTTCGCCTCACTCCCGCCAGATCATCAATGGCGACAGCAATTCTAAGCAAGCCGGGCCGTTGGGATACGCCTTCGATCCATCCTCAGGTCCTTCCTACTACTCCGCCTCCGCAGCGTCTCATCCTCATATGTGTTCAAGTCCTCTATCGCCCATGTTCCAGATTCAATCGGGAATATCCGGGCCTTCCCCTCAATCGCTGAACTCACAGTTCAACAACCAAATGATCTCCTCTCCCAGGTCATCTACCACGCCTGGCCCGGGACCAAATGAGCTAAGTGAGCTTGGTAAGGGGGTGCCGCTGCACCAAATCCCACGAGACTGTCGATTGTATATCGTCGAGTTCAAGGGCGGACGGACGGATCTGTTCTATCTCTCATTGGATCCCAGTGAGGCGGTTGAGAGTGTCCAGAAAGGCGACCTGGTGATTGTCGAGGCGGACCGGGGCAAAGATCTCGGCAAGGTAGTCCATGACCAGATCTCGATCGACGAGGTCAATAAATTCCAGAACCATCAGCTCGAACTCATGCTCAACCAGGTCAACAATCCTGCCGCTTCTTCTCCCGTAGCCATCCATTCAGCCATCCCTACTAATGGCCTTTCAGGCTCTATCGCTCCTGGTCCTCCGCCGCCTGCCAATGGCGATCTGAATCCGCAAGCTCAACCTAATCCGGCCAACTTGACAAGACTGACAAAAGAGGTAAAGATGTCCCCTAGAATTATTTGATTACGTAACACGTTTGCTTAGCTACATTTTTTTTTCCGGGTTGTTTGATGAACTAGATCCATCCGAAGAGGATATATGGGAAAGCGAGTGCAAGCGACGTGCAATCGTTACATCAAAAGATGGAGGAAGAACGGAAGGCGTTGAGTTTATGTCGCTCGAAGGCGCTTCAAAGAGGGCTCAAGATGGAGATCACGTCGGCCGAATGGCAGTGGGATCGGCGCAAACTGACCTTCTTCTTCATCGCTGATAAGCGGATCGATTTCAGGGATCTCGTCAAGGATCTCTTCCGGACTTGGAAGACTCGGATCTGGTGCGTCTCTTCACTCTTCCCTATCCTCATTGCCTGAACTCCACGATCGGGTGTTGATTATGCTTTTTTTTTGTTTTTGTAGGATGTGTTCGGTTAACCCTTAGACTCCATCTCTCTCATTCATACATTTCTTTCCTTTGATCTCACTGTGTCGCATAAAATATACATCACTATAACATATCCCCCATATACACATATACACATTATTCCTTTCCACTTCCTTCCGGTTCTCTCTGTCTCTTTCTCTGAACAGCATCTCCCTCGTATAGCAATTTACTCCCACACATACACATATACACATATATCTTTCCTACTCTCTCTCTCTCTTTCTCTCTTATACATATAAAGGACGATTGATATCTGCGCTTTTTTTTGGCTCTTCTCTGCCCCCCTCTCTTTTTTGTTTCAGATACAATTGTCTGTGTGCATGTTTTCTATTAAATAAAAAAGAACTTGTATTTGTTTTCTTTTTTCTTCTTTGTTCTCTTAGTTTAGTTTAGTTTAGGTTTAAGACATGTATATGTACATATAATAAAGATATGTATACTCAGTTTTTTTTTTCTTTCTTTGTTTTCTTTGATCCACACCACTCCATCTTTTTTTTTCTTTTCTTTTTTATCTTCTTCTTTTTTTTCTCAAAACAGAAAAAAAAATCTACATAAAATCAAAAATATCCATTTATCAATTAGATAATCTCCACACAAACATATATATATCATTTATAAACAATATACATTTGCCAACAACAACAATGAAGAAGAAGAAGAATTTCAAGACTGCTTACTGTGCATATATAACATATAGATCCTGTGACTTCTGCTCTATTCTGATCGGCCGTTTTACATACATATACCCACAAACCAAAAAAGAAAAGAAAATATATATATATATACAGCACTTTGACTGTCAATGACTGCTCACATTTCTTATCTACTGGATTGAGGAGAAATCATCAGGTGTTGGCTGGTTGTTTTCCTGGTGTTTTTTTTTTGGTTTGGTTTGTGGGTATGGAACTGTGGGTGATTGTGTCAGGATGGAGAATCAGTTCAAGTATGTAGGAATGTATTTTTGCTTTGCTTTGCTTTTTTTTACAAAACAGTTTAGATATACAAGTAGGCCATAATGTTGCATATCCAATCAACAACAGCATCCCTTTTTTTTTTCTTGAGATAAAACGACCGACCGATTGATCTGCCCAAGATTTCTTTCTTTGTTGTTGTTTTGTGTGATGATTAGTGATGAGTCTGGCAAAGATGGGGGGTATCCATTTTGCGAATCTTTTGGCCTGGAGGGGAGTGCTGAGGATTGCAGTAGTTTGTATTTCTTGGCTGTGTGTGTGTGTGTGTAGTGAGTAGGGGTGTCTGGTTGGTGGATGAGTGAGCAAGGATTCTTGGGTGGGCGGGGCAACGATGAAACTGTGCCAATCCAATACGGTATCAGCCAATTTATTGGATCAGATCAATTTTTCAATACCAGGTATCAAAAAATAAGGCATTGGATTGCCCTAGCGATCTGATCCTGGGGTATCAGATTGGGATCAGGATTGGATTGCCCTAGCAATCCGATCCTGGGGTATCAGATTGGGATCAGGATTTTGCATTGCAATCCTGAACCAACAACCAACAGCTGTGGGCTACATGCCTCATGCTTTGGTATCATCCAAAGTGTGACTGATCCAATCCCCGGGTTGGTATTTATTGGGAATCAGATCGAACTGATCTCAGGTATCAGGATTGTATTGTTCCACCCAATTCCAGTTGTCCAATAAATCGGGATTGGGTCAGAGATTGATCCAATCCCAATACTCGGTATCCGGTCCATTTTTGATCCTATCCCCAATAAGTACTGATCCGGACATCAGATTGGTTTCATTGCTGGTTAAGGTGGGTGTTTTTGATAAGTCTGAGTGACTGTGTTGGTGGAAAACAACAAGAAACTAGTGAATGTATCATACAACACCCAAGTGTTATGTTTGCTAAGTGTGTGCGTGTCTGAGATATCTCATTCAGATTGAAGAAGATAATACACATGCACAGGATGGCCCTTCAAAACTTTGCATCTGTGAGTATATATAATGCCACAGCCCAAGATTTTGATGGGGCCTGTCAGCGTAATCATGAGGGCCCCATTTGGACACATCCATAATATATGTTACAAGGGTTTGAAAGTTCAGCTCCAATTGACATGATATATAAACATATATTAGTATAACACAATCTTGTGCTAAAATTTCCACATTTACGACATATAATGGTGTTGTCCAGACACACATCATCCCTGACATGATTTCCCAGATGGGAAATCTTGTAAATTTTAGGGAAATCCTGTAAAAAAATTGAAGATTTTTCCAGATTTTTTGGATTTTTCTAAATTTTTTAGATTTTTCAGAGTTTTTAGATTTTTCTAGATTTTTTAGATTTTTGTTATTTATTGGAGGACTTCCCGTTGGATCTGGGAGCCTTGCAGTTTCCAATTTAGACCCAAAAAGTCTAGATTTTGGCAGGGAAATCTAGCTTTTTCGTGTTAGAATCTGAGCCATCAACACTGCGCATACAGTATACGCAGTGTTGCTGACTCAAGCACAATTCTCACCATCAGCAAATCGACAAACCTAACCTAATCAACATCCCGCTCCATAAAAACATCGACTCCAACCGGTACTTCTAGTTTCTCTTTCCTCACACGCTTTATCATAAAACGCTTGTGAAGAATAGAGAAACTAGTAAGTCAAAAATCCCTAACTTCAAATCAACATATCCGAACTCGAAACTAATCTGGATTCCTTATCTCTTTCTTTCTATCTTTTGTTTTTCTTCTTGAATAGATTATCTATTGCGTGTCCTTCAACAACCCCATCCCCAAAAACCCACAACAACACTCGCCGTGCTTGTGCAGGTATGCACTATCCATGTTTTCCCTTTTTCATTCATCATAAAAAATGTTTCTCATTGTTTTTCTAATATTTTTCTCAACATTCTCATTCTTTTCATTTTGCTTGTCTCAGGTGTGTGAATACTCAGGTGTCGTCGTTGCTATAAGAACAACTCCGACTCAATCATTATTTTCATCAGGTTCGATCTCCTTCTCACACACATATGTTTTTCTCACATCTTGTTTCTCTCTCTCTTATAATTCTCTTTTTCTCTAAATGTCAATAAAAAACACGCTTCATCATAAAACGCTTGTGAAGAATAGAGAAACTAATTATCTATTGCGTGTCCTTCAACAACCCCATCCCCAAAAACCCACATGAACAACACTCGCCGTGCTCGTGCAGGTGTGTGAATACTCAGGTGTCGTCGTTGCTATAAGAACAACTCCGACTCAATCATTATTTTCATCAGGTGTGTGAATACTCAGGTGTCGTCGTTGCTATAAGAACAACTCCGACTCAATCATTATTTTCATCAGGTGTGTGAATACTCAGGTGTCGTCGTTGCTATAAGAACAACTCCGACTCAATCATTATTTTCATCAGGTGTCTGTTGATCGATTCCACTCAAAAATTACATTCGGCTCTAAATCAAAACTGGGAGCCCCGCAGATGTTGACGGGAAGTCATCCATTAGGGGGTATCAAATATAAGAAATCCACCATTAGAAACCAGTCACTTTTCCCAAAACTTTTTTTTGCATCAATGGGCCCCAAAAGGGGTTAAATGAAGAACCAGCATGTTTAAAAAAGGGTGTATTTTTCAAAACCAGTCAATTAAGTAATGGTGGATTTGGTTATATTTGATTCCCCCTATTGAGATTTTTCCATATTTTTGGGATTTTTCCAGATTTTTTAATTTTTTAATTTTTTTTTCAGATTTTTTCAGATTTTTTCAACTCTATATATAGATGTCTCTTAATAAAAAAATCTGGAAAAATCTAAAAAATTTAGAAAAATCTCAAAAATCTAGAAAAATCTAAAAAATCTGAAAAAATCTGAAAAATCTGGAAGAATCTAAAAAATTTAGAAAAATCTAAAAAATATGGAAAAATCTTGAATTTTTTTTACAGGATTTCTCTCAAATTTACAAGATTTCCCATCTGGGAAATCATGTCAGGGATGATGTGACAGGGCCTAGAACTAAAGTTGATCATAGCTACTGATCTATGCCAAGATTGTTGATCAAGTTTTTGAGCAACTTGTTTGATTTCTGATTTTTGAAGACCATGATTGTGCATCAATCATAAGCCTATATTAGGGGGTATCAAATATAGGAAATCCACCATTAGAAACCAGTCAATTTTTCCAAAACTTCTTTTTGCATCAATGGGCCCCACAAGGGGTTGAATGAATAACCAACATGTTTAAAAAAGGGTGGATTTTCTCAAACCAGTCAATTAAATGATGGTGGATTTGGTTTTATTTGATGCCCCCTATTAATCCTAGAAACATATGGGCCATAGATATATATCAATCATAGGATAAAGCAGATCAACAGGTGGTTGACTTGAGGGGAGTCTGTACTACTCCTCTAGTTTCAGCATACATAGCGAGCAGAGAAACATAGCCAGCCTTCTTGATTGTGGGTTACCAGGAACTGAGTTGGATCGAATTCTGGTTCAAATTTCTCTTTGGAATAGGATCCAATAGGTTCTTTGAATCAATCCAATTTTGGTGTGACCAACAGTGAAACCAATTTGATACATGTATTTGTATTTTTTGGTATTTGTATCTGTTTTTCTCTGAGTACATTGGATCTGTATCATATCAAAAAACAAAACAGATACTATACAAATGTCTCAAAATACTTGCATCTGGTCAGAAATACAGCCCAATACAAAAAAATTTGATACTGTATCTTTTTGTATCCTCCAAAATTTTTATTGCAAACAGTCCAAATTGGCCAAAAGATGTGTAGTGCTTTTTTGATCCAAAAAAATTGTATCATATCTGCTTTGAGATACAATACACAATACCAATTTTTTGAAGTGTCCGAAAAAAGATACAATGCAAAATTATCTCCAGATGCTCTATTGTATCATATCTATTTCACTGTTGATTGCACCCCAGCCAATTTTGAGCTTTTTGTTTTTCACCAACCAAAATTCATTTTGGGGTTTGCACTGAAAATCTTGTTTCTGTTGTACTATGGCACTACAAAAGCAGTTGCATTGCATCCTGTGAATGTGTGCTAACATTGCATGTCACATGCAGTGTCACTTCATGTTTGCAAAATGCAATTTGATTTTTGGAAATAAAAATTTGATCACATTCTGCAAGTGTGAGGTGACATTGCATGTGGCATGTGATGTTATTGCACATTTTCAGAATGCAATGCAGCTGTTTGTGTAGTGTGGGAAATTGGGTGTGCAAGGGACACCATTTCCAGCAGGCTCAATTTCCAACTTGAAAAATTGGAAATTGACCTCAAAATTGGGGAAACTTTTGTCCTAGTCCTGTGTAATGTATTGAATTCAACATACATATCTCCAAAGCCAAAGTCTCAGAAGGGCCTCTTCAGCATCAACATACAATTAGGGTTGTCAAAGTTCTGATAACTCACACAATATTGTAAGCTCATATAATCCAATAAATGAGTTTTTTTGAGGGGATTTTGGTTTCATGATTACATAAGCCCTGCAAAAAAAGTTTCTTGTTGGATTATATGAACTCGCAATATTGTGCAAGTTATCAGACCTTTGACAACTCTAAATAGAGGGGCTTATGATTAAAATCCGTTGAATTTTCAAGCCCATTTTGATCAGGTGTTTATCAGTGATTCTTTTAAATTTCAAAAGTTGTGTGGATTGTTCAGAAACTCCCAAATCCATCCATCTCACAAAATTTACAAAACATTGTTGATAAAGGCCTTAGTTAAACGACTCCCAAATATTGGAGTTCCGACTCCCAAATATTTGGGACGTCACTAAGACCCCCTGCAGACGGTCCGCAGGCCGTCCACCCCCGGAGATGGGAGTCGGACCTCCCAAACCTTCAACAGGTTTGGGAGTCGATCATCCCAAAAAAAAAAATAATAAAAAAATATAAAAAAAATAAAAAAACCCGGGGGTTTTTGGGAGTCGATCTTCAAAAACCCCCAGGGAGGTGGCGAGTTGGCGCCGGACTCTCAGCGGCGGAGAGGAATCCCTCTCCGCCATTGAGAGTGCATACTCTCACCAGCCGAGAGGGATTCCTCCCGGCCGCTGAGAGTATATACTCTCACCGGCCGAGAGGAATCCCTCTCGGTCGATGAGAGTGTACCCTCTCACCCCCGGCCGGGAGGGGCATGAAAGTGTACTCTTTCACCGGCCAAGAGGAATCCCTCTCGGTCGATGAGAGTGTACCCTCTCACCGGCCAGGAGGAATCCCTCTCGGCCGCTGAGAGCTATACACTCTCAAAGGCGGAGAGGGATTCCTCTCGGCCAGTGAGAGTATACACTCTCAGCGGCCGGAAGGAATCCCTCTTGGCCGGTGAGAGTATACACTCTCAACGGCGGAGAGGGATTCCTCTCCACCGCTGAGAGTCGAGTCCGGCGCCGACTCCCAACCTCCCTGGGGGTTTTTGAAGATTGACTCCTAAAAACCCCCGGTGTTTTTCATTTTTTATCTTTTTATTTTATTTTTTCTTGGGAGGATCGACTCCCAAACCTGTTGAAGGTTTGGGAGGTCCGACTCCCGTCTCCGGGGGTGGACGGCCTGCGGACCGTCCGCAGGGGGTCTTAGCGACGTCCCAAATATTTGGGAGTCGGAACTCCAATATTTGGGAGTCGTTTAACTAAGACCCTAGTTAAATCACCTTTAAAAATATAAACAATTCAATCCACTAATGATGCACCCCACATTTAAACATTATAAGGGTGCAAGTTGAAACAACAGATCCAATCAAACACCATGGGCGTGTTTTCTCAGTTGGTTTTTGTTGTGTTGAGAAAGTTTCCAGAAAAGTGGTAACTCTCTGAGTTAAAATCCAGTGGCCAAAAGGAATTTTAACTTCTAAGTGAGTTCAGAAGCCAGTTTTGAACCCCACTATGACCAAAGACATGCATATACAGTGAGCCTGCCTTGTAAGCATACACAATATAAGCATAGCATAAATATTGAATTCCACCAACCATTCTCTTGGTTTCTCAGTAAAATTACCTCCATAAGAAGCATACCTCCATGTAAGCATAGGATTTGTGTTGACCATCCTTATGCTTACATAGCGGGGTCACTGTATAGCATTTGCAGAACAAATTTTCTCCCACCATGGATGGGTGCTTGAAACCTGTTAGACTTGTTACCTTCCAGAGTGTTTATATCCCAAACCTCTGCCCATCAGAGCCAAAGCTGCACCCAGGATGTATCAGGGATCAGCGTGATGGTTTGGACGGTCCGAGTATGTATGTACAGCAAATTGCGGCGCGCGGGCTAAACCTTGAGATGCATATGACAGCCCCCCGTGGACTACCGAGAGGCACTCCGGATCACAGCACGGGCTGGGAATTTAATAGAAGATCCGCCTCGAAATTTTCAAACACAGCAAGGTCAAGCAGATACTCTCACTTCCCTCTTTCCCAAGTTCTCGTTAGTGGTACCTAGCAATAAGCTTTGCCTGTTGACCTCTCAGAAACGTCCAAGTGGTTTATCATCAGCACGAAATCCTTCAAGTCAGTTCAAACAGCCACAAGCCGTCTTCAGCTACCACCACCAGCCGATGCGCACTCAGAGGTACTTTCAATCGGTCGTTACGCCTCATCAACTTCCTCCACCAGCTCATCGTGAAGTTCGGGTGTCGGGTGATGATCATTGGTGCCGGAGCTCTTCGTCGCCGTACTGGGATGGCCAGGATTTCTCCCGATGTGCTCGTCTGAAATACTTAATTGGCGAGCCGGCTCTGGTCCTTGTTTTCCTACTAGGAGGGTCTTTCATCCTGCCGTATCTTCCCCGTCTATGGGAGCGCATCCGAAGCAGGAACCTAGGTCGATCATGGATGAAGAGGCGTGCCACGCCGTACGAAACAATACACAATCCAAGCACTCAAGTTGCTCGCAAAGACCCAGACCTAAATGGACCTCAGGCCGTCTCACAAGCTGAAGATCAGATTATTGCCATCGAAGTCATGCGCGAAGGTGGATTAGGAATCGATGAGCAAGACCGTCAAGAGCTTCTCCGAACGCATAACCTCCCTTGTCCCCCCAACGTCTGCCAGAACTCTTGCGCGGATACCACCAGCTATTTGACCGCCCTCGTTAGATCCTGGAAGGAATTCTCGATCACCGCTTGCACCGTTGGAATGCTAGTCACCGCCGCTGCACGTTACTTCATCTCAACTGATATCGACGCAGGTTCACATTGGCTCCTAATTCCTATCATGCTCTGGTTATTTGTCTCAGTGATATCAACCATGAAACTTCTAATTCAAATCCAATCCGTAATCCGCAACAAACCTCATCCTCACCCGAAATATTTCGAGCTGGAATATCGTACCGTACCGATTTATCTGATCAACTTGCCTCTCGAGTTACTGGACACCCGCAGCATTCTACTTCAGCATTTCAGTAGCCAACATACCGTTGAATCGACATATCAACTCATGGTGATACGATTGTTGACCCTGATGTTTCTGATCATCGCAAATGTGCTCGAGTTGGTGACTCCAAGACCTACGACACTACTCCCAGACTCATCTAAGGATCGAAGCTCAACAATTGCAACAACTGATGTGCAGCCTAACGCCCAACGACCTGGTCCTTTAGAACCTGGACGCTCGTTGCTATCTTTGGCGTACTTCATCCACACCGATTCTTACTTATGGCGACATAAATCTTCGACAGCGACAGAAGAATCTATTCCAGACGTACGGGTTGATGACAAGTCTGCCGCAGTTTTGTTTCGTTGGAAAAAGGATCAAGATGAATACGCAGCGGAAAATATCAAGCCCAGCTTCTTGCGTGCACTGACCTGGCACTTCAGGAATATACTCTTGAGTCAACAACTTTTTGCGTACTTCAACGCTGTCGGATCCTTGTTGCCGCCGTTTTTCTTGCAGCGTATCATTGGCTTCATATCATCCAAATCGAGTGATAATCCGCAACCAGTTCATGTGGCTTTGTTGTATGCTTTTGGGATGCTCGGCACTCAAGTATTCTTGGCCTTCTCCCAATCTGCTGTTAGTGGCTATTTTCCGCCTTCAAAAAATTCTTTTCTGTATCTGTCAAAATGCTTACAATGTATTATCTCTCTAGAGCCTAATGATTGGCCGTCGTCTCTCGGTTCGCTTGAGAGGCTTGTTGATCACTTTGATATTTACGAAATCACTTCGGCGAACTGGCGTGAATCCGAAAGTATCAGAAGTTGTAGACTCGAGTGATGATGGATCATCAACTGACAGCAAATCGACATCAAAGGAAGATCCAGAGACCAGTGCCTCCACAGGAAAAATTGCAAACCTTGTGTCAAACGACGTCGCCAGCTTGGCAGAAATCGGAGCCTATCTTCAGTCAGTAATATCGCTTGCAAGTCGGATGATCATGTCACTTATTTGTCTTTTCCTTTAGCTTCCTCTGGCCCGAAAGTGCCATTCAACTTATTCTAGCCGGTATATATCTCTACATCCTCCTGGGCTACAGCGCATTGGCTGGGATGTTTTGTATAGTGATCGCCGTGCCCATCCAGAGCTATCTGACTGCTCTTTGGGCTAGTACGTACACCTCATACACTTGATTTAATCCAAGACGGCCCATGCTGACATCTTTTTTTCGCATGACTTTTGCAGGATATCAAGACCTGTTGATGGCGGCAGCTGATAAACGGTTGGGCTTGGCAACTGAGGTGATCAACAACATCAAAGTGGTTAAATTTTTTGCCTGGGTAGGCGAGTCCCTAACTATGTATGGTTCAACCACCACCATACCCAGAAAAAATCTGATTAATTTGCTTGTTGTTTTCCTGGAAAAGGAATCGAACTTTTTACAAAAAATGCAAGTTTTACGTGAAGCGGAATTGGTTATGCTGTTCAAAAGACTCTTGGTTACCATTGGCGAATCTACAGTATCATTTTCTGTACCGATCTTCGTTAGCATTGTGACCTTCTACACACACACCAAAGTTTTGGGTAAATCCTTGACCGCAGAAGAAGCTTTCACTGCGTTGGCCTTGTTCAATGTTTTCAGGTTTCCACTTTCCGTGCTGGTTGGGGTGGGTGATATGTCGTACTCAAATAGCTGATGTAGATCACTGACTCCAGATTGGTTTTACGGTTCACCTTTGCAGATGATTTCTGGACTCTTACAATCTTACGTATCATTGAAGCGAATTGAATGCTTCTTGAATGAGAAAGAGACTGAAAAATACTCGACCTTGTCGGTGCCCCGGCCTGAAGCAGGTGACCCACTCGTCGGTTTCAAAAATGCTACATTCACGTACGACGCAAAGCAAGAGGATGCGGGCCCCGCTATTGAGTCCTCCACATTCAAACTATGTGGACTCGACTTCGCTTTCCCTGAAGGAAAACTCAGTTTGATCATAGGGCGAGGTAAGTTTTTTCTTCTACTTTTTCCAGTGTCCAACCATGCGATTTTCGTCTGACTATGATCAACTGTACATTTGAGATTTCTGTAGTTGGGAGTGTAAGTCTAGACTCCACCTAAATAATTTATCAAAGCTACCCACTGATCCGCCCTGATCATCATAGGGGAAAGGTACCCTTCTTCTGTCACTCCTTGGCGAAACCACCAAGCTTAGCGGAGAGGCGTTCCTGCCTTCACCCGTGTCTAGAGCTTGGGGGTTGGATCCTGAGGTTCAGCTCACCGAAACTACCGCGTACTGCCCCCAACAAGCATGGCTGCTTTCGGATTCCATACGAAACAATATTCTTTACGGTAGTACGATGTAGGCCGTTTGAATTCATCACAGCTGTTTGTTTTTTATCATTATTGAACCTCAACTCTAACCCCAAAAACAGGAATCAGTCAAGATACACGCAAGTACTCAAGGCTTGTGCATTGGCTTCCGATCTCACGACGTTTACCGATGGCGATTTGACTGAAATTGGTGACAAAGGTACGCTCTTCAAAACATACTTAGCATATGGATCGCCACTAAACAATTATGTTGTTTAGGCACGGTACTGAGCGGAGGCCAAAAAGCTAGGATTTCTTTGGCTCGCGCGTGAGTAACATATGTGGGTTGAGATTGGTAGATTGTAAGATGATTGATTCCATTGGCATTTGTAGGTTATACTCTCCCGCCAAAGTTCTCTTATTGGACGATGTTCTAAGCGCCGTGGACTCTCATACCGCTCAGCATTTGTTCAATCATGTGTTGACTGGCCCTCTCATGAAGGATCGCACGTGTATATTAGGTGAGACTTTGCCTTGGGACCTCACGTGCAGATAAACAACCATTGATATTGATATGTCCAATGTTGCTCTTTCCTCAGTAACTCATGCTGTTGACTTATGCATGCCGGCTGCATCGTTTGTTGTTTCGTTGGACCGAGGGCAAGTTGTATACGCTGGAGACCCATCAGCATCCAAACTTGCATCTGCGTTAAATACTATCTCCGAAGATACCGAGGTCCAAAGCAGTCAAAGTCCTCGCGAAAGTGATCATGAGCTTACTATCGAGAATCTGGCAGCACCCACACTTCACGAGGACGATGCAGTAGTCGAAATCAAGACACGGGCGACCCAAAGATTAGTCGAGGAAGAGCATCAAGCCGTCGGTGCAGTCAGCCTTACAACTTACAAGTTCGTATAACTCATCCTCTTGACTTTGCAAAAGTATTGATCGGTTTCGTTTGTTGTAGACTCTATTACGATTGTCTGGGTGGCTTTATGCCGCTTTTCAACACTTTCGTCCTGTTCATCTTGGCGGAACTGGGTAATGTTTTATCCACATGGGTTCTCAAGCAATGGGCCGAGAGTAACCAAGAATCCCCCGCTCCGACGAGTCCAATCTCTTCCAGTTTACTCGCACCTTCGATTGTTACATCAACCGAGATTTCATCTACAAGCCCGAACTTGCTATACTTCCACTCAGATTCTTCCTCAGAAAAAGATCCAAACAGAGAAGCCCGTTTAGATCGTTACATTTTGTTATATCTCCTCACCGGCATGTTCGCACTAGCTTTCGAGCTCATTAGGGAGACTTATTTCACTTGCCGAAGCATAATCGCTGGTCGCAAAATCTATGAACGTTTGATCGGTACACTTCTGAGTGCCCAAGGTGAGTTTTGCTGTAACCCTAACAATAGCATAGCAAGGTTAATTGGTTTTTGCTTCTCAAGTGCGATTCTTCGACACGGTACCCATGGGGAGGGTGCTTAATCGACTATCTACTGATGTCCGCACGGTTGACCGAGACCTGGCTGATGCACTAATTTACATGGCTGAGGATGTTTTGAGTACAATCGCCATTCTGATCGTTGTCATTGCCGTGCTGCCGATGGGATTCCTAGTTTCCACTATGGGGGCATGTCTGATCTACGTGGCGATCGGCTATCTATATCTGGCTTCGACGAGAGAAATTAAACGATCCGAGTCGACCTCTCGCTCTCCTGTGATTTCTTTGTGCACTGAATGTGAGCGATTCCATTGGGCGCGTATTTGAAGTCTTTGTTGCTGATTCTTCTCTCTAGGTTTGGGTGGCGTCACGTCAATCAGGGCTTATGGCGATATTGGACGCTACACCCAGCAGATGTTCAAGCTTATCGACGCATACAACCGCCCATTTTTTATGTTATGGATGTGCAATAGATGGCTCTCTTGTCGGATTGATACGGTAAGTGCAAGTCAGAGCTTCTTGAGCGCTGGCCCATGTCGTTGAATCAATTGTTCTCACAAACCCTTCAGGCTGCCGCACTCTTCACTTTCCTGGTGGTCATTTATATGATCCAAAGTGATATGCCTGCCGCCTTGTCCGGCTTTGCGTTGTCGTATGTGATTACTCTGAACACGAAAACGTAAGATAGGTCGTCTCTTCTTACGCGTATCACATCACATTAACATCCATGCGCTTGTCAATTTGCTCAGCCTGTGGATCGTCAGATGGTGGAGCGTCAATGTATGTTCATGACTTCGCTAGAGCTTATACGTAATTTTATCTAATAAAACCGTTGCATGATTTACAGGAAATCAATTTCAATTCTGTGGGTAACGCCTCTTGTGCTTCGAAGGTTTCTCAAGCTAATTGCAGGTGCAATTTTTCTGAAGATGGAGCGAATCCATGAATATCTGGGCGTTGATCAAGAACCCAAGAATGGAATTCAACCGCCCGCCGCCTGGCCTTCCAAACAAGGGACAATCGAAGTCGAAGGCCTGACAGCTAGATATGCGCCTCATTTGCCACCAGTCCTCAAGTCGGTTAGTTTTAGCGTCAAAGCCGGCGAAAAGATTGGTGAGTCACTACAATTCCGTGATATTCATTTGCGAGGTGAATTACTCAACAGGCGGCACTGCACTATGAAATTAGGTATTTGTGGACGCACAGGAAGTGGAAAGAGCACTTTGGCTCTAAGCTTCTTTCGATTTATCGAAGCCGAGGCCGGCCGGATTGTTATCGATGGGCTCGACATATCAAAGCTAGACTTGGCCTCTCTGAGAAGTAGACTGACCATCATTCCACAGGAGAGTGTCTTGTTCTCAGCGTGAGTCACTGGATCCCCGAACATAATGATTATGAACTTGAGCCAAGACTCATGTATGGTTTTTCTTTTGAACCATAGAACAATTCGATGGAACTTAGATCCATTCTCAGAACATGATGATAGCCGAAGTAAGTGATGATTGGGGAAATGATCGATCTGTTCTTGGAAATCGAGCAGTAGCATTGATAGTGATCTCCTGGACATCAGTTTGGGATGCCTTGCGCCGAGTCGGAATGGCCGCCCCTTCATTTGAGCTCTCGCCAAATGGTAGCAACGCTGCAGACGCACCCCCTGATTCCAATTCCACGGGTCAAGATTTACAATTCATCACAAGTTTAGATATGGAGGTCAAAGAAGGCGGGAAAAACTTTAGCACAGGTACGTCGCATAGTTCTTCTTGCTTCTTTTGCTATGGTGGCTTCAACAACTAGACCTGGACGTCTCATTGCTTGAATCTGTTACCAGGTCAACGTCAGCTGTTGGCGATTGCTCGTGCAATACTCAAATTAGAAAACTCGGCTTTACTGATTTTGGACGAGTCGACTGCAAGCTTGGGTGAGTGCGGTCGTTGTGTATTGTAGATTAACGATCGGCCTACTGATGTGTTACTTCTTTGTGAATCATGCTTATCTTTGTTTGGCAGATGCCGAATCAGACGAGAAGATCCAAGCAACAATCCGATCAGAAATAGGCAATTCAACAATCTTATGCATCGCACACAGGCTGAAAACAATCATCGATTACGACAAAGTATTAGTTTTATCAGACGGGGAAGTATTGGAATTCGATGAACCCTGGAAGCTGTTACTGGATGATGAGGATGGTGAACAAGAAGCCGGATCAGTCAAAAAACCCTCCGCATTCAAGGAGCTTTGCCTCAAGTCCGGTCATTACGATGAACTCAAACAATCCGCCTTGCAAGCTAAAGAACTCCGGTCCAAGTCGCATTAGCACTTTCGTAGTCTTTTTTTTTCTTTTTTGTGATTTTTGGATCGAACTTCCCTTCCTAGTCGTTTGCAATTTCTCTCAAATTCAAACTGACGTATCGATACATAAGTCATATCCAGATATATGAACATCACACACGACGCCTGTTTTTCTTTGATCTTCATTCAATTTGTCTTAAATCGTTCATATTATGTGTAGTCCAAATAGAGTGTTTCCTTTCCCACGAGTGATATCTTTTTTTTCCCCTTTTTTTCAACAGCGTTATCATTTCCTCTTTTTTAATCTACCATCGTTCTGTCTATCGTTCTCGTTGTCCCTCCCCTTTTTTTTATTCACATAAAAACTAGCAACCATGCAAGGCGGATTTTTTCGGGGCTCATGATCATGAATGGCTCGAGGAAAGTAAGAGTTTTCACGTTCTTCTTTTGGGAACAATTTTGGAGTGGATTGCAAGATGTAGGATAGATGATATAGATTTATAGGAAATTCCTTCTCTGTGTTTCCTTGCTCTGACATCTAACACTACTATCCAGAGTATTTCAGAAACTCATGTGATACCAAGATGAATTTCTCTTGGCCTCGTGTATGAAATGTGAAGTCCAAAGCATTGCCAAACTCACAGAAGTAGAAACTGGCGGGCTACACTATACATACTGTTGTCTTGTGAGTTACTTTGGAGGGTTGCCTCGCCATTAGGGTTGACGGCGCCATAGGGTGGGGCGCGCCAAAGTGCGCCCGCCCCCCGTGCGCGCACCCGGGTCCCCGAAGATCCTGAAAATGGGGGTCGGCGCGCACCTGACTTTTAACCCTACTTTTGAAGGACCCCTGAGATATCTTGGACCGGATCCAACCGGATCACACCGGATTCAATTTTTTATGGATTTGAAATTTCTGATCTCAGTCTCTCACCACTTGGAATTATGCAGTTATGGCCTCTGACACATGCACTAGGCATTGTAGCAGAGATCTTGCCTCTACAAAAAAAAAAAAAGAAAAAAAAAAAAACTTTGAACCTTGTTTTTTGAGCTTTTTTGACGGCGCCCAGCTCGCCGGGGCGCCGCCAGCCAAAGGCGCCATGCTCTGGCGGTTTGACAGGCGCCCCTAGGCGCGCACCTCTTGAAAAGGTGGCGCCGTCAACCCTACAGTCGCCATGCCTATGGCTCTCGCGCCGAGGGACTTGAGAAAGTTTGGGATTTGCGCCACTCGGTTCGGCATAAAATCCCACCAGCTGAGATGACTCGGAAGCTGTGGTCCATATCCGCGGATGAACCCCACCTGGTCTCTCTGGTTTGGCGGGACCTAATTAATTCATTCAAAAATCAAGAGTATATTTGGGTTCATGAGATGATCGGTTGTGCTCATTTCCTGGTTTCCCATCATAATACATAATGTTTAAGGCGAGCTGGCACTGCTATGTAGGCACTGCTACATGAAACTAAAGGAATTGCCCTGGATTGCCAGTGGCAATGGGTTTGTTCAACCCTGCAGCTGTCGCCATTCCTGCATAGTTGGGAGAGCACAGAAGATCGCCCACCTCGAAATTCCCAGACATTGAAGCGGATCGAATAAGCCTCGGCTGCCTCTTTTCTCGGCTAACTCCCGCACCCATCGGCACACTGCAACTTATTTAAGCCACCCAAAAAAGCTCAAATACTGGTACCAGCTTCAACACAGGTTCCTTTAGGTCGCAGATGTATTTCCAATCGGTCATTGAATCTCAGCAACTTCCGCTACAAGATTATGGCGAGCGCCAAATTCGGGGTGATCACCATTGGTGCCGGGGTTTTTCGCAGCCGTCTTGGAATGGCCAGGATTTCTCCCGGTGTGCTCGTTTGAAATATCTAATCGGCGAGCCGGCTCTGGTCCTTGTTCTTCTGCTGGGCGGTTCATTCATCCTGCCGTGTCTTCTCTGTCTATGGGCGCGCATTCGAAGCCGAAAGACAGCTGGATCATGGTTGACGAGGCGTGTGGTACCACCCTACGAAGCATTACACAATCGCGGCTCTCCTCAAGCAACTCTTCATGACCCAGAATTGAACGGACCTGACGCTGTCTCACAAGCTGAAGATCAGATTATTGCCATCGAAGTTATGCGCGAAGGCGGATTGGGAATAGACAAGCAAGATCGTCAAGAGCTCCACGGAGTAAACAGCCTTCCTTCCCCATTACACATCCACCAAGACTGTTGTGGCGAGACGACAACCTACCTTACCGCCCTCGTTAAATCATGGAAGGACATCTCAATCTCTGCCTGCACAGTTGGAATGCTAGTCACCGCCGCCGCACGTTACTTCATCTCAACTGATGCCGACGCAGGTTCAAATTGGCTCCTAATCCCTATCATACTTTGGTTATCTGTGTCGGTGATGTCAATAGTGAAACTTCTGATCCAAATCCGAACTGTAATTCGCAACAAACCCCATCCTCACCCAACATATTTTGAGCTGGAATATCGTACCGTACCGATCTATCTGGTCAGCTTGCCTCTCGAGCTGCTGGACACCCGTAGCATTCTACTTCAGCATTTCGGTGGCCAACATACCGTTGAAGCGACATATCAACTGATGGTAATCCGGTTGTTGACCTTAATGTTCTTGATCATCGCAAATGTGCTCGAGTTGGTGACTCCAAGACCTACGACACTGCTCCCGGGCTCATCCAAGGAACGAAGCTCATCAATTGCACCAGTTGATTCGCAGCCTGAAGTCCAACGACCAGCTCCATTGGAGCCTGGACGCTCCTTGTTATCCTTGGCTTACTTTATCCACACCGATTCTTACATATGGCGACATAAATCCGTGACAGCGACAGAAGAATCTATTCCAGACATACGAGCAGACGATAAGTCCGCCGCAATTTTGTTTCGTTGGAAGAAGGAGCAAAATGAATATGAAGCAGGAAACATCAAGCCAAGCCTGTTGCGTGCATTGACATGGCACTCCAGGAATATTCTCTTGAGTCAACAACTTTTTGCTTACTTCAACGCTGCAGGATCCTTGTTGCCGCCTTTCTTCTTACAACGTATTGTTGGCTTCATATCATCCAAATCGGGCGAAAATCCTCAACCAGGGCATGTGGCCCTCTTGTATGCTTTTGGGATGCTTAGTACTCAAGCATTCTTGGCCTTTTCCCTATCTGCAGTCAGCTTCCATTTTCATTATCCTCAGTCGAACATAAGTGCTGAACTCTTACGCGCAAATCCAAATATTCTCATGACTTGTGGTCACTCTAGAGTCTAATGACTGGCCGCCGTCTTTCGCTCCGCTTGAGGGCGCTATTGATTACATTGATATTCACGAAGTCACTTCGACGAACTGGTGTAAATGCCAAATTGTCAGAAGGTGTAGACACGAGGAATGATGACTCATCAACTCAGATCAAATCGCCATCAAAAGAAGATCCGGGGGGGAGCGCGTCCACAGGTAAAATCACAAACCTCGTCTCCAACGATATTGCCAGCTTGGCCGAAATAGGATCCCATCTTCAGTAAGTAAGATTGTCGCTAGTAAATCAAGTAATGCTGTCACTTACAGGTCGCTGTCCTTAGCTTTCTGTGGCCCGAAAGCCCCGTTCAGCTTATCCTAGCAGGTATATATCTCTACGTTCTCCTGGGTTACAGCGCATTGGCAGGAATGTTTTGTATAATAATTGCTGTACCCATACAGAGCTACCTGACTGCTATTTGGGCTAGTACGTGCACATCATAGGCTTGATTCACAAAATACGACCCATCCAAACTGCTATGTTTTTTCTTCACGCGACTTTTGTAGGATATCAAGACATGTTGATGGGAGCAGCGGATAAACGACTAGGCTTAGCAGCTGAAGTGATCAATAATATTAAAGTGATCAAATTTTTCGCTTGGGTAAGTGATATCCATTTTGTTCAGTCATCAGTAGATCGGCAGTTACACCAGGAAGAAAACCTTACAAATTGGGCTATGGTTCGGTCTGAAGGAATCAAAATTCTTGCAAAAAATGCAAGTTTTACGTGAAGCAGAATTGACTATGCTTTTCAAGCGGCTTCTAGTTACCATCGGCGAATCTGCAGTATCACTTTCTGTGCCAATTATTGTTAGCATTGTGACCTTTTACACACATACCAAAGTTTTTGGTAAATCATTAACTGCAGAAGAAGCTTTTACCGCGCTGGCCTTGTTCAATGTCTTCAAGTTTCCGCTTAACGTTCTGGTCGATGTGGGTCCCATGTCATAGATAGTCAACTGGCCCGGTCAGATCACTGACTTGCTTGGTTGTGCGGATCACCGTCAAGACGATCTCTGGGGTCTCGCAATCTTACGTATCTTTGAAGCGAATCGAAAGCTTCTTGAATGAAAAAGACACAGAAAAATACTCAAGCTTGTCTGTGCCCAGACGTGAAGCAGGTGACCCACTTGTCGGTTTCAAAAATGCTACATTCACGTACGAAGCGAAGCAAGAAGATGCGGACCCTACCCTCGAGTCTTCTACATTCAAATTGGGTGGGCTCGACTTTGGTTTCCCTGAAGGAAAACTCAGTCTGATTATAGGGCGAGGTAGTTTTGTTTTTTTTCTGATTCTCCAAGAATGTAATGCGAATCTGATTTTGACTAACTATCGCTGAATATCTCTTTAGTTGGCAGTGTAAGTCGAGACTCCCTCTAGTAATCATTCATCAAATCTAACTACTGATCGGCCAACACAGGGAAAAAGTACTCTTCTTCTGTCACTCCTTGGCGAAACCACCAAGCTAAGCGGGGAGGCATTCCTACCTTCACCTGTGTGTAGAGCCTGGGGGTTGGATCCTGAGCTTCAACTCACTGACACTACCGCGTACTGCCCTCAACAAGCATGGCTGCTATCGGATTCAATACGAAATAATATTCTTTACGGTAGCACGATGTAGGCCGTTTGAATTCATTGTTTGTTTTTGATGTTTATTGAACCTCAACTCCAACCCCAAAAACAGGAATCGGTCAAGGTATACGCAAGTCCTCAAGGCTTGTGCATTGGCTCCCGATCTCGCAACATTTACCGATGGTGATTTGACTGAAATTGGCGACAAAGGTGCGCTCCTGGGACATCCTTAGCCAATGACTTCCCGCTAAATAATTTGCTTGTCTAGGTACGGTACTGAGTGGAGGCCAGAAAGCTAGGATTTCTTTGGCTCGCGCGTCAGTCATATGTGTACATGGATTCCGCCTAGTAGATATTAATTCCATTGCTCTTTGCAGTTTATATTCTCCCGCCAAAGTACTCTTATTGGATGATGTTTTAAGTGCGGTGGATTCTCATACCGCTCAACATTTATTCAATCATGTGTTAAATGGCCCGTTGATGAAGGATCGCACATGTATACTGGGTGAGCGTTTTCTCCTTGTGACTACCGCTGCATGTAAACTACCGTTGATGTTGAACCTTACTCGGCTCCTTTCTCAGTGACCAATGCCGTTGACTTGTGTATGCCAGCTGCATCGTTTTTTGTTTCCTTGGATCGAGGGCAAGTTGTTTACGCTGGAGATCCATCAGCCTCCAAACTCCCATCCACCTTTGTATCCGGGAACCGCAAAGTCAACAGCAACCAGAGTGCTCCAACAATTGATCCTGAACTGATCATTGAAGACCTTGCGGCAGCTATCTTGAACAAGGACGAAGAAATAATCGAACTCAAGACGCGCGCAACCCAAACATTAGTTGAGGAAGAACATCAAGCTGTCGGTGCAGTTAGCTTTAGAACTTACAAGTTTGTGAAACATGTCCTACCGGTTTTACGAAATCTTTACTAAAATCTATTTGTTGCAGACTTTATTACGATTGTCTGGGTGGCTTGATTCCCCTTTTCAACACTTTTGTCATGTTTATCTTGGCAGAATTGGGCAACATCCTATCAACATGGGTCCTCAAGCAATGGACCGAGAGTAACCAGAAATCTGCCAGTCTGACAAACTTAACCTCTTCGAGTTTACTTCCTCCTTCAATACTTACAGCCACCAAGATTTTGTCAACAAGCCCGAACCCGCTATATCTAAATCTTCACGCAGATTCTTCTTCAGAAAGGGACTCGATCCCAGAAGCACGGCCAGATCATTACATTCTGTTGTATCTACTTACCGGTATGTTTGCATTAGCCTTTGAGCTCATCAGAGAAACGTATTTCACTTGCCAAAGCATCATTGCTGGACGCAAACTATATGAACGTCTAATTGGTACACTTCTTAGTGCCCAAGGTGAGCTGTGTTGTAAACCTCCCACTAGCATAGCAATGTTGACTGGTCTTGGCTTCTCAAGTGCGATTCTTTGACACAGTACCCATGGGGCGGGTGCTTAGCCGATTATCAACTGATGTCCGCACAGTTGACCAAGACCTAGCAGATACGCTAATTTACATGGCGGAGGAAGTCTTGGGGACAATGGCCATTCTGATTGTGGTAATTGCCGTTCTACCCATGGGATTCCTTCTTTGTGCCATGGTGGCATGTTCAATCTATGTGGCGATTGGTTACCTATATCTGGCTTCCACAAGAGAAATCAAACGATACGAGTCAACTTCTCGTTCTCCTGTGATTTCTTTGTGTACTGAATGTAAGAAATTTTGTTCGTTGGATTTGAAGTTTCCCTTTCTGATTCCTCTGTTCCTAGGTTTGGGTGGTGTCACATCAATCAGGGCTTATGGCGATATTGGGCGCTACACCCAACAGATGTTTAGGCTTATTGACGGGTACAACCGCCCATTTTTCATGTTGTGGATGTGCAATAGGTGGCTTTCTTGTCGGATCGATACTGTGAGTTCAAGTCAGAGACCCTTTAGCAATGTCACACGTAGCTAAATCAATGTTCATTTTACATAAACGTAATAGGCTGTTGCCCTCTTTACTTTCCTGGTGGTCATCTATATAATTCAGAGTGACATGCCTGCCGCCTTATCCGGGTTTGCTTTGTCGTATGTGATTAGCCTCAACAAGAAAACGTAAGATTGGCCAATTTTTGTTTTGAAAATTGCGTCATGGTAACATTCCTGCATTTGCAAATTTGCTCAGCTTGTGGGTCGTCAGATGGTGGGGAAGAAATGTGTGTTGATAACTTTTCTAGATTCTTTTTCTGATTTTGTCTAATACGTCTGTTACATCCTTTTCAGGAAATAAATTTCAATTCTGTGAGTAACATCTGTTCTATGTTACAGGCTTCTCAAACTAACCACATGTGCACTGATTGTGAAGGTGGAGAGAATTCATGAATATCTGGGCATTGATCAAGAACCCAAGGCTGGCATCCAACCGCCTGCCGCCTGGCCTTCAAAACAAGGGGCAATTGAAGTTCAGGGTCTAACAGCCCGATATGCACCTCATTTGCCACTGGCCCTCAAGTCAGTTAGCTTCAGCGTTAAAGCCGGCGAGAAAATTGGTGAGTCAAGCGACATTTATCTACAACTTGAACGTTTTATTCATCAACTGAAGTCGGCACGGTACCCGTCACAATAGGCATTTGTGGACGAACTGGAAGTGGGAAGAGTACATTAGCCCTAAGCTTCTTTCGATTTATTGAAGCCGAGGCCGGCCAAATTCTCATCGATGGGCTTGACATATCAAAGTTAGACTTGACCTCTCTGAGGAGTAGACTGACAATCATTCCACAGGAGAGCGTCTTGTTTTCAGCGTGAGTCCCCACGTCCTCAAACACAATGACTGCGAAGCTGGACTAAGACTCACATATGGTATTCTTTTGGATCGCAGACCAATTCGATGGAACTTAGATCCATTCTCAGAACATGATGATAACCAAAGTAAGTCATGGCCGGGGGAGCAATTGATCCGCCCTGGGAAAGCGAGTGATAGCACTGATATTACTGCCCTGGACGACAGTCTGGGATGCCTTGCGCCGAGTTGGAATGGCTGCCCCTTCATCTGAGCTGTTGCCAAATGGTAGCAATGCGGCAGATGAACCCCCTGAGCCCAGCTCCATGGCTCAAGATTTACCATTCATCACAAGTCTAGATATGGAGGTCAAAGAAGGTGGGAAAAACTTCAGTACAGGTATGCCGTGTTTCTCTTTACTTTTTTGCTTTGTTGGTTCCAAACACTTGACCTGAAAGTCTTGTTACTTACCTGTCGTCAGGTCAGCGTCAGCTCTTGGCAATTGCTCGTGCAATACTCAAGTTGGAAAACTCGGCTTTACTTATTTTGGACGAGTCAACTGCAAGCTTGGGTGAGTTAGGTAGCTGTTTATTGCAGAATAATGATCAGCTTACTCATGTGTTGCTTCCTTGCGAATAATGCCTATCTTTGTCTGACAGATGCCGAATCAGATGAGAAGATCCAAGCAACAATCCGATCAGAAATGGGAAACTCTACCATTTTATGCATTGCACACAGACTGAAAACAATCATCGACTACGATAAAGTGTTGGTTTTATCAGACGGGGAAGTACTGGAATTCGATGAACCCTGGAAGCTGTTATTGGATGATGAGGATGGAGAACAAGAAGTTGGATCAGTCAAAAAAACCTCCGCATTCAGAGAGCTTTGCCTCAAGTCCGGGCACTATGATGAACTCAAACAATGCGCCTTAAAAGCTAAAGAACTCCGGTCCAAGTCTCATTAGCTCCTTCATAATCATTCATTGTATGGTTTCCGGATCGGCCTGGTTTCCCAGTCCCCTTGTCTTTGAATTTTCCAATCCAAAAGACAATTTTATGGTTTTCTATGCCTAAATTTACTCTGTCCTCCAGTTCTGACACTCTGCATCTAATCTGTGGCTCCATTGGCTCGCACATATTTGACACATTGCTTCATGATGTTGATTTTTTACCATCAATATCTCATATCAGTTTGTTGATCTTCAATTTGTTTTGTTTTGCTTGATTGCCCAGTATGGGTAATGAACCACAAGCTTTTAGAAAGAAGGTGATCTTAGTAAATCTACACGATGATACTAAGGATGACCTGAGAGATCACAAACCTTTTAGAAAGAAGGTGATCTTAGTAAATCTACACGATGATACTAAGGATGACCTGAGAGATCACAAACCTAAGAGTTGTTAAGGTTAGTGATGAAGCGACAATGGTTTGTTAAGAAACAATTGATTGATTGCTTTTTCATATACACACCTTTTAGAAAGAAGGTGATCTTAGTAAATCTACACAATGATACTAAGGATGACCTGAGAGATCACAAACCTGAAAGAAACACAATGTTAGACTACGTATGACAATGAGTTTTGAAAATGAAACGAACCTAAGAGTTGTTAAGGTTAGTGATGAAGCGACGATGGTTTGTTAAGAAACAATTGATTGATTGAAAAGAGACCAATACAATAAAGAGAGATCGCTTAATAAAGATCAATTAGGTTTCAGAACAACTGCGGCGCAATGTGTAAAATGAATAAAGTATAGTATAAAATCGAGAAAGAACTAGATAGAACCAAATAGTTCAATACCCCCCCTCGTTCTCAATTTTCAGATTCAATAAATTGTTGAAGGTTGTTTTTGAGGTAACCGAGAAAAGCTTGATGACAAATTCGAGGAAGTGATTTGGTGAAGCCGTCCGCCTCATTATCCGCGGTGGATACGTAACGAATGTCAAGGTAATTTTTCTCTACAGCATCACGTGAGAAATGATACTTCACATCGACGTGCTTTGTTTGCTGTTGAAACAAAGGATTACGCGAAAGAGCAATCGCCGCTTGATTGTCGCAATAGATCGGAATTGGATAGACCGGCAAACCAAGGGATTCCAGAAGAAGTCGCATTGAAATTGCTTCTTGAACTCCATCATACAAAGATTTGTACTCGGCTTCGGTAGTCGAAGTCGAAACCGTTGAAAGTTTCTTGGCCCTCCAGGAAATAACCGAATCACCCCAGCAGACCAAATACGCAGAGTAAGAACGACACGTATCGGTACAAGCCGCAAAGTCGGCATTGACGTAAATTGAAATTTTGTTGTTTCCACCCCCTATGTTGATGGAAAAATGAAGAGTTGATGAAAGATAACGTAAAAGATGAGTAAATGCACGCCAGTGCACTATCCCAGGACGTTCAAGATGTTGGGAAAGTTGAGAAACCGTAAATGCTATGTCCGGTCGAGTCGCAACTGCAGCCCAGTTGACTAAACCCACCGCCCGACAATAATTGATACCAAGAGCATTGAACTCCATAATTTCATCTTCCGTAGCGGAGACAAGTCAAGTATTCGGGATCATCGGAGTTGGGACCGGTCGGCTGTTGACGTAGTTGTATTCCGTCAAGATCTCAGTCACATAGTTTGTTTGAGAAAGTGATAAATGATCATTTGCATGAGTGATGTTCATTCCCAGCAATGAACTGATAGGACCCAAGTCCTCCATCAGAAAACGCTCGTTAATGAATTTTTTGAATCTAGCAACATCACCCGAGATGACCACCAAGTCGTCGACGTAAACGTGAACCAAGCAGGTCCAGTCCGGATCTGCCGACTTGAAAAGACACGGATCGTTTGCCGAAGGGAAAAAATTGATCGAACCGAAGAAAGACGAAAGTTCTCGGTACCAGACCCTTGGTGCTTGTTTTAACCCGTAAATAGATTTAACCAGGTGAAGACAAGTTCCAGACGGTGCATCGAGACCCGCAGGGATGCGAAGATAAACTGTTTCTTCCAACTTTCCATTAAGAAAAGCATTTTTTACATCCATTTGATGAATATCAAGGTGATTGTTCACCCCGTAGGCTAGAACCGCTCGAAGCGTAGAAGGACGACCGGTTGGAGCGTAAGTTTCACCATAGTCGATTCCATCCCGCTGAGAACTGCCTTGCGCACAAAGTCTTGCCTTAAACTTCACGAAGTTTCCCGCCGCGTTATGCTTCACTCGGAAAACCCAAACAGAACCAAGAAGCGTCTCCCCAGGAGGAATAGGTACCACGTTCCAAACCTGTAAGCGATCCATAGCTGAAAGCTCAACTTTAATAGCTTCCAACCAGTCGGCTGATTGAGGTGACTTCAGAGCTGTGTTGTAAGTTTTTGGAACCAGATTAGCCTCCGCTATCGAAGAATAACACAAACTTTGATTGAAATAAGGTACAAACCAAGGCTCAGTGGTTAAGTCTTGGTTCACAAGATGAGCTCGGCGTTTAGTGGTGAGGATGTTATTAGGATCGGTTGGATCGGAAGAGATGTTTTTTGGTGCTGGTTGACTCGCTGGTACGTAGTCCCAGCCAGGCTTTGGCCTTGATACAACAGATTGTTGTTCAGGAGGATCAGGAGTGGGGTGAAAAAGTGACGAAGGAGGTGGGTGAGAAGCTGACAAAGGATGCAAAGAAGAGGGAGGGACTAAAGAAGATTCAACCTCCTGGTAATCAGAAGATTCTGATGATGACGTAGGCAATGACGTAGGTGACAAGATTGCAGGTACGCCGCAGTCATCGACAGCATGTACCGGAGATTTGGACACAGCCTCCGGATCAACAGGATAAACTGACGGAGTTAAATTTTCCTCGACAAAATTCTCATCAAAATTGGTATAGACTGAATCACTCGGGGAGATTCCTGGAAAACAAGCCTCGTCAAATGTGACGTCATGGCTGTACTCAACCCGAGCATTCGCAGTGAGTACCCTCCAGTTAGGAATACCCAGTCTATACCCCACAAGAATACCCAACTTAGAAGTATCGCCAAACTTCCCTTTTCGGATATCATCAGGGATGTTAATGAAAGCACGGCAACCAAAAGTCTGAAGCCGTGAAAGATTGAATTTATGACCGTACCATAACTCATGAGGAGTTTTCCAAGAAATCTTCTTGGTGGGTGTTATGTTCTCGTAGAAAACTGCTGTCGAAACCGCTTCCCCCCAGAGATTGACCGGTAGATTTGCTTGTTTAAGCATCGATCTAGCTTTCTCAGAAGTTGTCCTATTTCCTCTCTCAGCGATAGAATTTTGTTGAGGTGTATAAGGTGCAGTCAAATGGTGTTTGATACCAACCAATTTCAGGAACGATTCAAATTTGTTCGAACAGAATTCTCCACCGTTGTCGGTGACGAGATTGATAATTTTCTTGGAGTGAAAAGTTGTTACTTCATTGTAGTACTCTTTAAATTTAGAAAATGCTTGGCTTTTTGCAGACAGAATGTAAACATGCTTGAAAGCCGAAAAAGAATCAGTAATTTTGAAGTAATAAGATGCCTTCCCCAACGTTGAAGGTGTAATTTTACCGCTGAGATCCATATACACATAATCTAGCACACACAAGGGTTTCGGAAGCTTGCCTGAAAATGGTTGACGATGAGATTTAGATAATCTACAGGCAACACACTCCATCGTTGAATAGCTGACCCGAAACATCTTCCTCAGTGCTTCTCGACTTGGGTGACTGGCGCGTCTGTGAAGAAGAGCCGCATCAGAAACCGTACTAGTCGTATCATAAGAACAAGGTAAATTCGGCAAACCGTGAGGAAGTATGACCAAAGCTTTGCAGAGATAAATGTTATTTTTAATTTCTGCATCAAACAGAATTAGAGTTTTGGCGGTGTCCTTGACGGAGAAAGTAGAATTAGATCCGGGTTGTCGAATGAGGTCACAGTTGTTGAGCGACAAACGAGCCATGCTAAGCAAAGCGTGCGTAAGACCCGGAACATGAAGAGCTTTGACACCAAAGGACCTGTTGTCACTATTCTTCATGTTAACGATCCCTCTTCCCAGAGCAGGAATTGATTGACCGCTTGCGACACTGACCGACGAACCGACGTTTTCGTATTCAGAGAAGAATTGTTTATCGGGAAACATATGGTCGGAGCAGCAGCTGTCCAGAAAAACTTGCGATGTATCTTTGAAAACCGATAACGCTTGAGGATTGACTACACAGCCATAAACTCCAGCAAAATTATCGTCATGTACAACAGAATTCGCAGAAGTCTTCTTTCTAGATGATTGCCTTCGCCTCCATGATTCCGGAGCCTTCTCAGGGTGAAGTTGAAAACAATTCGATTTCGTATGATGGGCGTTTTTGTTATGTTGACCGTTTTCACAGTAAACTGTTACCGTCTTCATTGCTGATTCTGATTTTACAACAGGATCGACCGAATTCGAAGGACTACCAGATGAACTCAGTTGCTTCGAATTCAAGTAAGTTCTTACGATATCGATGCTTAAAGGCCTCTTGGTTGTAATGATTTCTTTTGAATTTTCAAGCTTTTGTGGGAGAAGGTTGACGATATATTCAGCCAAAAGAGTTTCATCGATAGTTGTCTTCTCCATCTTAGCGATGTTGATGCCAACAGAACGAAGATTAGAAATACCGACGTCGATATCAGTAATGAATTGCTCCAGAGTAGAAGTGAAGCCGATTTTTAAGAAATCACGGTAAACGACAGCATGATTTTGTGACAAATCGGACTGAAAATGATTGATCAAAGCGCTCCAAATAAGGTGTGGTTGCTTTCGATTGTCTTCAGTGATAAATTTAGCGTAATTCTCAACACCTAAGTTTTGTCCAAGAATGCCAGCGGCTGCTGCTTTCTTATCTTGAAGTGAGATCTTAGCAACCGCATCTTTTTCCTCTTTGACTAAATCGGAAAGAAGATGATCGTCGAGATTCCTTTCAAGGCAGTATGAAAACATGATGTTCTTCCAATTT